TCAAAATTGATATATAGATCAATGTGTGTGTGTGTGTATATATATATATATGTGCATGTTTGAATTGATAGGAAGAGTTACTTCCTAAATTAAGGCATTGATTAGTGAAGGGCGTGAAAGAGCTTCTTCCTACACACAAATAGAAAGCTTCAATTGATCTCATTCTAAATCAAGACTTCCAATGTGAGGTATAGAGCCGTTTCCTTGATAAACTAATACATTGATCCCTTATGTATATGTGAGTGAATGATTTGCCTAAAAGGATACACAGTGACGATCATTCATACGTGTGACATGAGTACACGTGTGAGTGATCATGGTCGTTTGTTACTGCACAACGTAATGCATTGTACTGTAAAATTAGGGAACATTATACCGTAAAATTAGAGATCTATATGTATAGAATTGGGGGTCGAAATTGAGATATCCATATTGGGTACATGAGAATGGTATCCAATCAAATAAAATTCTTGCTAAAGCTCAATGACCCTTGAGAGATTTTATGATATAGAGAAGATTGACTTGGTCAGCTAAGAAAATGTTGAACAGTATTGCAGTTCGCTACTTCCATTTAAATTGCACACAAAACCAACAGGATGCCTAATTCCATTATAGAATGACTGATTTTTTTTTTTTTTTTTTTTTTTTTTTTAGTTAAAGGGTAAGCATTTGACATCAGTATGCCTCATTCAACGACAATCTTAGTACTTAATTATTGAGAAAAACCATTATCTTAAAGATTATGTGGAGACTCGATCAACAAATTAAGATGGATTCTCTAAGATGAGCCAAATTAATAAATGCAAATTTTGTACAAAAGAAATAACGACATGTGACGGAAAAATTAAGATGGTTTCGCTACGCGTTTATGAACGTTCCTTAATCAAATCCCAACGAAGAAATTAATTAAATTAGGCTTGATTTCAGGGCTCGTTGAGTGGTTACTGTCAGATCATAAAAAAAAATTCCAAATATAGAAAACGCCATGACTTCAAAAAACATAAAGATTTTCACAGAATACAGCACCATGCGTCAGTATTCAAGGTATCAAATGATATTCCAAGATTATCAAATTATATTTTTACTTTAAAAAATTCAAAACATTTTTTAAGGTTTTCAAATTATCTAAGGTTAGTATATGAATTTTATTCATGTTAAACCGAGTCCAAACATAGGTCAAAAGTGATCCAAACTATGTAAGCTTTTACCAGCTTATTTCCGAAGTTCGATTAGAACACGCTTAAGTTTTTCAAAGTGTGATTGAACGTCATAAAGCACACTTCTGAGATACTCCGATGTACCTTCCATCTCCATAATTTAATCTTCATTTTGAATTTAAAATCATACAGAAAGGTTATAAATGGCTAAGCGGAAGCGATGAATATTCAACAATGAATTAAGAAACAACTTTAAATCCACAAATTTAAGTTATTGTATTAATAATTGAATACCTAATTTTGTTCTCTACATACATGTGTTTATAATGAAAAAGGAAACTGTGACTAAAAATAAACCTAAAAAGAAACTTTAGCTAAAAATTATGAAAAAAATAGAATAAAAAACTCTTAATCAATAAAATTACTGAAGCACAATTCGTGTCTGTTTAGGCCATAAATAACAAAAATTCTGAAATATTCAACGTACTTTTTATACGATAGAAAAACTCGATTTTGAGGCCCTAAATGATGGAATTTAGTCAAAAAAAAAAAAAAAGGGCACAACAAAGTGACGAGTAATGCTCATTGGTTCATTTGTACTCGAAAAATTGTCCTTTCGACACTCTCCCGAAAAAACTATGTCCAAACATTCTCTTCTCTGTAATCCACGGTTAAACCTTCACTTTTCACTTTGAACGCCAAAGAAAATACCCATTAAACTACAATTTTTGGTAAGCCATCAAATTCAAACATATCATTTTCTAGACATTTAATATTCTGATAGTACTTTTGTTCAAACTGCGTCATTGTTTTTGAATGGTTGATTTGGAAATATATAGATTTAGTATTTACTTGTGGTATTATTTTGAAAATGAAGGCATTAAACCATAACCTCCATTTCTGCTGAAAAGCTTTCAATTGCTTCCACTTGCAAGAACTTATTGATATTTTGGTGGGTAGTTGTCCGCTTGTACTTAGAAATTGTTAGATTGTTATTGATGGATTTGATAGTACAGTATTACATAAATGCTTGATTAGATGACCTTCAATGGGCTCATTCATTCATTTCAATCATATCATATTAACATCTTTAAGTCATCGTCAATATTAATTATGTAATCCATCAACTAGACCCTTTAGTTGACATAATGTCATCTCAAGTATCGTGTCTCCTATATTCCAAAAATATCTTTTTAAAAATCGATCAAGAGAGGATTACGTATTTATTTCATGATAAGATTATAAGATAGAATAGATTGATTCAATTTCGTATGGACTTTTTACTCTCTTCCAGATAATTCGAATTAACATTAGATATTATTAATGTCTCTAACTTTCACTTGTAGAACTCTCATCTAAAGTTTTCTTTTCCATTTGTCTATCACGTACACTAAAATATAATACTGTAGTAGTTAATTAATGTTATTGCAACCAAAATTCAAAAGAAAACAAAAGGATTGTTTTTTGGTAAATGAGCAAAAAAAAATAAAAAATGGTGGTTAATTTGCCAAACATTGCCTGAGCTAATTTGAAAGATTAATTTCAACTAAATGTTATTGCCAAACAAATTTCTTTAATTTTGCTTTTAGAACTGACCGCGATCGAGTTCAAGGAATGGCATTAACTAAAAGCAAGAAAAGTAAGTTCACTAGCACGTAAAGGAAGCCTCCATATATTGCCTCACATAGTGAAACTTTCACACACAAAATCACATAGTTGGACCAGTGAAGTGAAGAGAGTCAAGAGACCCCCTTTTCTGATTTGATTGTCCCATCTTCCAAATAAGTATTAACTCAATTCCTCATGTTGAGAGCAGAGAAAAAATTCAGCCAATTATCGTGTTCGGACACTCATCCGTGGATGCCAAAAACAACAACCAGATTACAATCAATAATACTGAACATACTTGATCAAACCTTACCTTTCAGAACCAAAATTAGTGTAAACCAGGGAAAGATTTGTAGCTAGCTAACTAGGGTTAACTACAACAAAACTGACCTATAGCAGCGGAAAAAATCGCCGCTATAGGGTGAGCAACCTTTCCACCTGCATTTTTCACAAGAGTAGAGAGACTAGAAAAGAAAACATGCACAGAGAGGACGTTTAGATGGCAGCTTATTTTTGGCCGCCAATAAAATTTAGCCCTCTAATCCGTATTTTCTTGCGGTGGTTTTTCGCCAAGTCTTGAGATCGACAACGTTCAATTGGAGCCTCTGTCATAAGTATGTGATGGTTTTGGTTCACATTTATCCGGATGCAGCCTCTGCCGTACTTATGTGATGGTTTTGGTTCACATTTATCCGGATGCAGCCTCTGCCGTACTTATGTGATGGTTTTCGTTCACATTTTTCTGGATGCTGTTTGTTGCATGGCCGATGCAGGTTATGCCTCAACACACTATAATCAATGGTTTTTGCATCCGTGGTCACATGACTGAGCAAGAACAAGCATGTCACGAGCACTATGATGAGCAAAGCTCTTGTGCCTTTGGACATGCTTGTCATTTAAATTGATATAGATCAATTTGCATGCAGATATATGCATGTTTGAACTTATAGGAAAAGTTTCTTTCTAAATTAAGGCATATATATATGGTTTGTGAAGGGCGTTAAAGAGCTTCTTCCTACACACAAATGGAAAGCTTTAATTGATCTCTACCTAAATCAAGACTTTCAAATGTGAGGTTGGAATAATTGAGTGATTTGAAATGTGAGGATGGAATAATTGAATATTTCACTTTCTCAATTATTCATGTTTCATGTGTGTTTTGGTTAAGTTTAGATCTAATTAGGACTTGAATAGCATAAAATTAATACGTTAGAATTGATTCTGAGCAAGTTTCGTCTTGCACTATTCTCCACCTGAATAGTCCAAGATGAATATGGACCGGTACAAGTGTTCTCTGGACCAAGTTAGACCCGCGCAAACCAACGACTGCTGCACCTTCGTTATGAATTTGTTTTTTGAAGACTTGCTAAAGACCGAGTTGGCTTCGAAAAAGTGGTTAAACAAATTTGAAGTTAAGTGCATAATATAAATTGAAACGAAATTTGTCAATACGATGACCTTATGGGAACATTTCTACACCTAGTTGAAGAGTAAGCACGATTGCCACCAATTAATTGGAAATGTTACAAACAAACTTAATTTGGATAAGGAGACATGTTAAGTCTTTTCCTTTAGCATTGATATTCCTACATGTCGAGGGTGAGTGATGTCCCACATTTTGTTAGTTTTTTCAACCAAACAGAAAAAAAATGTAAAAACATTGCATGTAAGATTCTTGGAGTAGTATACTTGCAAGAGAAACCCTAGAAATTCTTATATGTAATTAGGTGCCAAGAATTAACTAGTATGTGACACGTGAATTTAAATGGCATGGTGTCATCCTTGCATTAAATATTTTTTTGATATCAATATCTAAGTCATACTTGCATCATTGCATAAACGCTTGGTAGAAATAAAAAGTTGGTGCTAAATGAAGTCTTCATGGATCGCTTAAATTTTTTCCCCTTTAAGTCTAACTAATCCAATTATGATGTGCCATCCAAGTTTCATCACGAATTCATGCACTAGTTATTTAATCACTTAATTTAGGATACAATTAAATACTAAACAGAAAAGTGAAAATAAAACTTAGCGTCCGTTAAAATATTTTTTGGAAATTATTTTTCGGTATTTGAAAGATTCAAGTTTTGAAAATGATTTTCCATGTAAATTATTTTATCTTCAAATGACTGAAAATAATTTATCAAAAAGTTTCCGTAAGTCATTTTTTGCAGATTATCATAGATCATTTAACCATTCGTATTCTTATTGAACCCCTATTTTCCTTCAACAATTAATTTTTTTCAGTTTATTCTCTCTATATGCATATATAGAGTGAGAGGATAGAGAAAGAGCAACACAAATTTGAGTTTATTGAGGAACAATTTAGACAGAGAGTATGTTCTGATATAGAGAGAGAGTGAAGAGAAAAAGTAGCGTGTAGAGGGACGGTTAGCATGGAGAGGAAGAAAGTAACGAATGAGAAAGGGACAGTTTAGGGGGTTGCTCATTACCCCCACCCCCGAAAAATAAATAAATAAATATAAATTAAAAAAAAAAAAAAAAACAGTAGGGAGCAGTACTAATAGTAGATTGCAAAATTTGTACTATACTTTTAGCTCCCTCGATCCATATTGGAAGCATGAAAATCACTTACTTTGACTCCTTGCTCCAGGTTGGAAGCATGAAATTCAAAGATGTGTAGAGTGCTCACAGCGCAAATAAGGTCATAATTTGACGCCATCAAAAAAATTTTTTTTTTTTTTTTTAAATCTTCTAGTATTATTATTATTATTATTATTTTAATCTTCTTGAAAAGAAACTCTCATTTGTCAGATTCAATGATATCGTATTCAGTGATATCAAGTCTTTAATCTTCTGATAGTTTTGTTCAAACTGCTTCATTTGTTTTGGATGGTGGATTTGGGAATATATGGATGTTGTATCTACTCCTGGTATTATTTTGAGAAAGTAGGCATTAAACCCTAACCTCCATTTCTGCTGAAAGCTTTCAATGGCCGGCCACTTACAAGAACTAGTCATTTTCCGCCCACTCATCCACATGAACCCGTCCTGTCTCTCTTTTTCTTCATCCCTTTCTTTCTTTCTTGATATTCAGTGGGTAGTTGTACATTGACAATGGTACATTATTAATGATTTGATAGTAGAGCTAGAATTATGGGGCTCATTCCTTCATTTTGCTTCGAGCTTCTGATTGACATACTTTGGTTAAAATTTGCTTCATTTAAATCATATCATACTTACATCAATATTAATCATGTACTCAATCGACTACGTACCCTTTCGGTTACAAGTTAGTTGTCACCTATCTATTTCATTATTAGATTAAAATCTAATAGTTCATTAATGTTATCGCTACCAAAAGAAAAGAAAAGGTTTTATTTCAGTTACATGTTATTGTCAAACCACCAATTTTTTTTTTTTTTTTTTTTTCCTCCTTCTAGAACTGACCGCGAGTTCAAGGAATGGCATTAACTAAAAGCAAGAAAAGTAAGTTCACCACTAATGGAAGCCTCTATATATTGCCTCACACACAAAAATTCACATAGTTGGGCTCGTGAAGTGAAGAGATTTGATGGTCCCATTTACCAACCAAATATGCAACATTCATTTTTTCCCTCATTGTCTAATGAGTCATGCTAGGTGTGGTCAGTCCTACTGACATATGAATTTAAGTATACGCACCTATCATTTATTAATTAGAGCTCCCAACAAACTTCTTCACTTAATTGATTTTGGCTGTTATTTATTCATCACAAACCCTTCTTTCACACTTCATAGCCAACATTGTTGGAAAACAAGGTGAAATGGGATACATGGTCATGTCATGGCTCTTCTTGACTCAATTCCTAATGCTTCATGCTGAGAGCAAAGCCAAAGTTCCCGCTATTATCGTGTTCGGAGATTCATCCGTGGATGCCGGAAACAACAATCAGATTCCTACCATTGCTCGGAGCAATTTTGAGCCTTATGGCCGCAACTTTGCTGGTGGTAGGCCAACCGGGCGATTTTCCAATGGCCGGATTCCTACTGATTTCATCTCCGGGGCTTTTGGGCTCAAACCAATCGTCCCTGCCTACTTAGATCCAATGTATAACATATCGGATTTTGCCTATGGTGTCACTTTTGCTTCAGCAGGAACTGGCTATGACAATGCCACTGCTGATGTACTAGTAAGTCCCCAATATTCATATATCTGTCTATATGCATAAAAGTTCACTGATTTTGTAGTATAATGGTTCACTTTTTCTTTTCTTTTTTGACCCAAAATGGGCTTTTTGTGGGGCTTTTGACCCGTTTCTCTTACGGTTTTTGGAGTTTGCTTGGAGATAGCACCTGAAAGCCATAATTCAAAGAGTGAGAAAGAGAGAGAGAGAGAGTGAAATCTTTCGCCAAATCTTAACGGTGGAAGTAGACTTTATGCTGTACTGTGTTGGTGTGTGTCTACTTTTCTGCCAAATAATTTTTATTATGTTCTTAATTCGCGGTGTTTGTCTATCATGCTTGACTTTCTACTGTTATATTCATGCCTTACAGGATGTGATACCACTGTGGAAGGAACTGGAATACTACAAGGATTATCAGAAGAAACTGAGAGCATTTCTAGGTGTAAAGAAGGCCAATGATAGATTAAGTAAAGCATTGTATGTTTTGAGCATGGGAACAAATGACTTCCTCGAGAACTACTACACACTTCCTGACCGGCAATCGCAGATGTCCATAGACCAGTATGAAGATTTTCTCATTTCAATCGCCAAAGGTTTCATCCAAAACTTGTACGGTCTAGGAGCTCGGAAAATATCCCTCGGAGGGCTTCCTCCCATGGGGTGTTTGCCACTGGAGAGAACAACAAACTTCATGAATGGATATGAATGTATGGAGAGTTACAACACGGTAGCTTTGGCTTTCAATGACAAATTGAAGGGTTTGGTGGGAAAACTAAACAAGGGCCTACCAGGGATCAGAGTTGTCCTATCAAATCCCTACCAAATTCTCCTGCAGATAATTCAGAAACCTTCCTCATATGGTAATTAAATACCTTTAATCACCACTCCACGTTTGATCATATATATGATTTATCTCTATCACTAATTTTTTTCTTTTTCTTTTTTGGGGCAAATAACTTCAGGCCACCGTTTGTACTTTGTAGGAGATTTGAATCATCTTTCTTTTACTTTGAAATGAGAAAAAATACCGTTATATCACATGTCCAAGTAATTTTTTCACTAGTTAAGTCATAAGTTTTGGAGTAGTTAGCTAAATAAGGAGGAAATGTATTAACAATATTTAACTTATTTCTTTCTTTTCTTATAGATCGACCATGTCTAGAACTAAAATATTTATACACTTCCTGTCTGAGACAACTGTATAACTTCCCCTCCCTTAAATTTGTCATTGAAGAATTTAAAGTATCATAGTGGATATATTTAGTGTTTGTATATAAATATTTATCTAGAATTTGACTCAACACACACGTGTGATCGCTGTGTGTCGTCCGATGAATTACAAAGTAAAAATTTTTCCAACTTTCCAAAATTGTAGTTAAGAGTGGAAACATTTGTAACCGTTTGATCTATAATGAATCCTTGGTTTCTTGATTGGCAGGATATGATGAGGCAGCAGTGGCATGTTGTGCAACCGGGATGTTTGAGATGGGTTACGCCTGTGATCGATATAATCCATTTACATGCACGGATGCCAACAAATATGTATTTTGGGATTCATTTCATCCTACTGAAAAGACTAATCATTTAGTTGCTGATCATCTCGTTAAGACTGTTCTATCTGAGTTCCTTTGATATGTGTCGTCCTAGCTACTGGTTGAACACAAGCAGCAGCTAAGGGTTTGTTTGGTAATAGTGTGAGACTTGAGTTTTCTTCGTGCCTATATGTAAGTATGCTTTTAATTAGAGCATAATATTTATTAGATTACTGTTGTTATTCATTATATTTTTATTTGCTTGTTCGATTTCTTACCATTTTGATCCAACAAAATAAAATTATTCAATTAAAATTTCTGGTTAATTTGAAGAAAAAAAAGGAGAGAACAGAAGAAAGGAGTGTTGTTCCAAAAGCTCCCACCAGCGAGTAATGGAACACAACAAGCAGCTAAGAGTTTGTTTGGTAATAATTTTTGTTTTGTGACATCAGTCCCACTGATATTAATCAGTCGGAATTAGGGGCGGATTCAGAAAATTATGTGAGAGGGAACGGTCTTTGACAATATAAAGAAAAAAGAAAATTCAAACCATTAATGGGGAGCAATAGTGAAATTTTTCTATATTTCCAATGGGGCCGGGTAATATAAGAAAAAAGCACAAGTATAATACCGAAAATAAAAATTCCAGTGGAGACAATTGTCTCCACTAGGCCTTACGTATATATGTCCGTGCGTGTCTGATTTTTGAACTCAAAATCATTATTTGCGTAGTTAAAATTGCCCGACCTTTGAACTCCGAATCACTATTCTTTAATTTTTCTCAGGCGACTAAAACACAATTTGTTTCCATAGTGGTGACACACTTCTTAGAACATCTCCAATGGCCTCTCAAATAGGCTTTCAAACTCAATATATAGTAGATGGATAAAAATAAGGCACTCCAACTCTCACATTTTGAGATTCTCAAATGTATTCTCAAATGTAGTAGCTTTCAAATGGTCTCTCAAACTCAAAATATAGCAAGTGAATAAAAATAGACACTCCAATAGGCTATCTCAAAAGTCCTTTCATATTTTGAAATTGTCAAAAGTTGTTAAAATGAAAATAATGCACCACAATGGGCTCTCAAAACATGAAATGATTGTTGTATCAAAAAATAACGTTTTGAATGAAATGCACCATTAAACCAAAATGATAAAAATATAACATTTTGACATTGTATCTCTTCTTAAAATATAAATTTAGTATAAAAAATATGGCATTTTGCATTCAACATGAGAAAGATAGAGAATCTAAAGAACAACTATGGGACAACAAGAAAAGCAAGACATGTGCGGATCGTTTAGCAATATCTTTGTGCGAACAAAATCATAACACTAGTTTAAACACATAGGGACATACAAGTTTTTTCTTTACCTAATCTGTCGAAACCTCAAAATTATCTTCACCTTGTTCCATTCTTTTTGGACTCACCGAAAAAGTTCAAATTAACAACCAATCATGTATACGGATCACATGCTTTTAATAATTCTTTCTTGTCTAAGTTCGAGACCTATTTGTATTTTTGTATATTCCATGGCCCTCGTGAATGCCAAAAATAACAACAATATTAATAATAAAGTAAAATAATAACGGCTTCATATTTATTATATCAATTCATTTCGTTCATTTCTAAATAAAATAGATTTTTTTTTTTTTATTAACGTTTATTGTTGTAAGTATGATCCTCTTTTATGGACAATGACGAAGATGTGGAGTTGGTATAAATTCCAAAAATAACAATAATAATAAGAGTAAATTAAGGAAAATTAATAAGGCTCTATGCTTATCATATCAATTACAACGTTGTTCATTTCCGATAAAAATTGTATTAACGTGTAAGTTAAGTATATATGATCCTCATTTATGGACAATGACAAGAAGTGGAGTAGGTATAAACCTACCACAAAAATAATATATTGTTGAATTACAAATAACTAATTAATAACATGTCAAAAATATTTCACAAGGCACAATTATATGGACAATTATTATGGAAGAAGGTCAAGTTTACAAATTTAATCTTTGACATTTCACAAGGCACAATTATATGGACAATTATTATGGAAGAAGGTCAAGTTTACAAATTTAATCTTTGACATTTATTACATATAAGTGTTTTTACACTGGATAGTAGGAATTTTTTTTAACTAATTGTACTTAAAATTGTATAAATTTGAGATTGAACTCAAGCATGTGCAACCAAAATAATAGAGGTCTTATTTTTAGGTTTGAATATTATGACTAAATGCGAATCCAAAGTTGGACTCGCAATTCAAAGTAGTTGAAAATTTTATTTTAAATATTTTTTCCCCAAATAGAAGTTGGATATTAAATATTATTATATTAGTGGGGAAACATTAGTCTACAGAAGTGTACGCCACTGGATCCAATCGAGGCTCTCCTTGGTTATTCCAAATTATGAATTGCACTCTCAATAACCCACGCGCTCTTCTAAGATTGTTTGGCAACACTTCCCACCAACTTGACAAATTACACACATACATGCATACATACATATATATATATATATATATATATATATATATATATTTCTTAATATTGTGCCTCTAAACTAAAATTCTGACTCCACCCTAAATATGGTTAGATATTAAGATAAATATGGCTAAATATTAAGAATATCTATCATTTATTTTGTAGAGGTGAGCATGAATTTAACACAAGTTATGGGGTTGGGACAAGTTTTGAGAGACATTTGTCACGCCGGTGCCTCCCTTTATACTTTTATTTTTAAAAATTAAAAATTATATATATATATATATAAGTATATACATTATTGTGTTCATATTTATACATATATATCATTATTTACTATGTGCTTACATGGTATAGAATTTATAGTTTTTATCAATTTATTTATATAAATAACAAAAACAAAACAATAAAAAACGTAAATCGGCATGGTAGGGTCAAATACACCCATCTCCTTACGAGGTGGGTATGATGATTTGTGAACTTTAAACCCGTCAAGGGTATAGGCCGCGGGTATAAATTTACTCATAATTCAACATTCAGATACAAAGTTGTCTAAATTCAACCATACCCACCCCAATACCATCCCTATATAAAACATGCGATTCAAAAAAAAAAAAGGCATAGCAATGATTCTCAAATATTTATTTCTAAATGATATTTTGAATTTATTATCCGGCTCTAATAAAGATAATTTTGGACTTACAACAAGTTTAATCTATACATTCTTCAAATTTTCAAATACTCCCAACAAATTATTTTGGTATAATATTCTTAAATTAATTAACCTTTTATATGACTAAAAATAAATAATACGGAGGAAAAAATAATCTAAAAAGTGAAAGAAATATATATATATCAAATTTAGTATGTAGTCCAATTATATCGAGGAATATTCCTCCTCACGCGCCATTATTGTCTATTTGTGGAAAGCTGAAACTCTTAACCGCGCGTGAGACGTGAGTTTTATTTTTTCCTTTCTTTACTAAAATAGAACAATATAAAAATAGAGTAGAGAGTAGAATTTCAAAGAAAGACTCCTTCAAAGTCCAAAGAGAAGCTCTAACAAAAACCACCACAACCAAAGCCTGAAACAAAATCAGACCATGAAGAAGCTCTACAGCAAAGGCAAAGTGCATCCATCACCGCCGGCCATCGCCGACCATTTATCATTGCTTCCCGCCACAATTCTCACCCTCACGGTGGCTCTCTCTCCTCAAGACAGAGAAGTGTTGGCCTACCTCATCTCCTGCTCTCCAACATCCAAAAACTTCTCCGGCCACCAAAAAACCACCCGCAAAGGTGGTCTTGGTGGCGGAAGCGGCGGCGGTAGTTCTAAAGACCACCCTTCGCTGTTTCAGTGCGACTGCTTCCGGTGTTATATGAGCTATTGGGCTCGTTGGGACACCTCACCTAACCGTCAACTCATTCACGAGATCATAGATGCTTATGAAGATAGGTTGTATCAGAAGAACAAGAAGAAGGATGTCATGAAGATCAAGAAGGAAAGAAGAAAGCGAGTTTGTAACGTGTCCGACGAGGATCAGCGCGACTCCGGTGAGTCGGAACCGGTGGTGGAGGTGAGTTGCGGCGGTGGTGTTGAGGTGAAGGGTGAGGATGGTGGACAGGTGGGGTTGGAGAATAAGGGATCGTTGAGAAGGCTTGTAAGCTTCATTGGAGAGAGGATTTGGGGTGTTTGGGGCATATGAAAATGTTTATCAAGGACAAGAAAATCAGAAAGTGGTGGGTTTTTTTCGTTTTTTTTTTTTTTCTCTACATTGCAAATTTCTCTTCATTTTATTTTCCATTATTAGCTCATATTTTGTACATGATCATCCTAGTTAATTTTGTAATGTAATTAAGAAGATGGGGTAATTCTAAGACTATCTATCTTTCTTTTTCTCTCCCTCTCCATTAAAATCATAGTATATAATTTGTCTATTCATGATCTTAGAGTTATAGTTGGATGCATATAAATTTTTCAGATTTTAATTCCTTATAATTTACCATTTCAATTTCAATTTTACTTTCGTCACCCTAATTAATTTGACTTTCGAAATATAGTTAATTTGTATTTATTTTATTTGTTTATTTACTTTTATTTCGGTTCTTTGGGTCATCAGTTAAAGTTTATACAATGCCAACATTTCTCAGCATTTTTTTTTTTTTTTTTTCTCTTTAGCATTTCTCTCTCTAGCTATTTTCCCATCAAATTAATGTTAGTACTTTTTCCATCGTTAAATTATTTTAAATAGATTGATTTTTTTTTTCATCGTAAATTTTTATTATAGAATGATGTTAAAACCAAGTCGACCTATTTTTAACTCAATTTAAATACTAGAGATCTTTCAATAATTATTGTGTAGAAGAGAATGATAGTTAAATTTCTCAGTCTTATAAATAGGCAAAGTAACAATTATTTAATTAATTAAAAAAAAAAAAAAGACTGATTCAAAGTGCATTTTATAAGTTGAACGAAGCAATTATTTTCTTATTTGAACGTGTCAAAGGTCAATATTGGGTGGTGCTGATCAGCGACCATAGAAGAAAAAAAACAAAGCTGGCGTACGAAGACTTTGACTTTTCTACCTTTGGCCGGTGAATTCGAATCTCTCGTGCTCCTTCATTCAGTATACGGACTCGGTTTGTAACGCCCCCGCGCGAGAGAGAGTAGTTTATTCGACTCGCTGAAAATAAGTGGGTGCAGATACAGTACGATACTCATGTTGCACAATATTGAATTCGTAAAGCACATTAGTTGATGTTTGGAAAAAAAAAAAAAAAAACTTACTCTTATTTTTTTTTTAAAGGCATGAATTGTCATAAATTAGATTAATAAATATAGAGAATCAAAATTTGACACTTTAAAATTGATAGGAGGTACTAACCCACTGAATTTTGCGTCCTTCAATTTTTTGTTATGTGAAGTTCTACAATTATTAATTACTTAATCCAGCATATTTTTAGTTAATATGTGAATTATTTATCATGATTATACATCCTACATAAGTTCACAAAATAACACATGAAAAATGACTTTGCTGCCGGAGCCACAAACAAAAAGAATGTGTATTTTTTTTTTTTTTTTTTTTTAATTGTTACTCACGCACACTTGTCATTTCTGAGACTTGAACTCCTAACCCCCTTTTAAGAAATAAGAGGCTGATATCGTTAGGCCACCGACCCGTTGGTGAGGGTTTTGACATTGATGGTGTAAAACCTTGATTCCAAGAAAATAAATAAAAAAATCACAAGCCCATACTAGCCCATGACATTTTTTTTTTCCTAATTGTTACCACACATACTTGTCCTTTTCTGAGACTTGAACTCCTAACCTCCTTTTAAGAAATAAGAGACTGATATCGTTAAGCCACCGACCCGTTAGTGAAAGTTTTGACATTAATGGTGTAAAACCTTGATTCCAAGAAAATAAATGAAAAAATCACAAGCCCAAACTAGCCCATGAATTATTTTAACCAAGATTCACATAATGACACATGAACGTTTTCAATGAGAAAATTTAAATGGTGCTAAATCGATACTTGGTGGTTCAGTTCAATTTAACTCTTCGATTATAAAAAGTAGGGATAAGTGTATAAAATATCCCTAATGCTCTGTTCGTTAGGAAGGAAGAAAATTGGATGGAAGGGAATGATGAGACATCCCTAGGGAAGAGATTATGAACTTCTCTTGTTTTGTTCGGTTGGATGGAAGAGAAGAGAAGAACCTATCAAATTCCTTTGTTCGTTAGGAGGGAGGGATGATAGAATTTAAATTTATTTTTACCATTATACCCTTCATTATTTTTTTTCTAGTTATTATCTTTGTTACTCATTTGAATAGTACCATTAATTTCACGACAATTTGTTGTTTGCTTTATTTATATATGTATATATATAAAATCATATTTCATCATGAATAATAATAATATAAAAAAGTACCCCACTATCTACTTGACAAATATTAAACAGGCTAATGGTTGATAAATATTAAACAGGCTAATGGTCGGCAAAACACTAGACAAGTGCATATATGTCTACTACGAGCAATTGGTCAATCAAATATTTATTTCCTATTAAAATTGCACCATTTGTAGTCACATAAATTGCCTTCAACCATTTAAAATGACAAACACTTGCCAAAATCAAAATTCCAAAAGACATAACTAAAATCCACCATTCTTATGAGGAAAAAAAACACATTAATGTCAAAGAATGAAAATAAATAAATAAAAGAAGAAATCCGGTGAAGTTAAAGACTCCAAAACAATAAACATTCAAGAGTTGGTTGAAGTTAAAGACTTCAAAATAATAATCATTCAAGGGTTGGTTGCATCATCCATCATCTTGTACAACAAATCCTTGTGTCTCTCAGATGGCACGGCAAAGAATGCACTTTTGTGAGTCTGACTTTTAATAAGAAATATCAATGCATCCAACTGAAGTTCCTCAGGTACCCCAATGTTCAACAATTCTGCAAACATTTCATCTTCTGAATAGTAACGTGGTCGAGCTCTCTCAGAAATAACAATTCTTTTTTCTGCAATTGCAAGCCCTCTTTCCGCAACAAGATTTCCCTTCTCGATTGCCTCTGTTACTTTGTTAATTCCACCTCCGATAACTTCACACTTTTTCTCAAATAAATTAATCACTGACTCCTTTCTTTTTGTACCCCTTGAAGATGTAACAGCTTCTGAATTTGGTTGAGAAGATGCACTCATGGGAGAATTTTTTTCATTGTTGTTTGAATTTTTATTAGTTTGGTTCGAACTTCCATCTCTTGCCCATCCTTGAACTTTTTCTTTTGCACTTACAGCGCCATCACCATTAGCTCTATCTTTTGCAAAAAGATCATACAATTTCTTATAAAATTTTATTTTAGTATGCCTCCATTTCGATGCTGATGGCTTTGCCTGCAAAATGTTTATTATAAATAAATAAATCATAACAACAATATTTGTTCTATAAATAATTTCATACCTCTGTAAGGGCCTTCCAAACTTCGGGTTCTGCCCCGAGCAATTTTGTTTCTGGACTCCATGAAAATCCACTTAAATTTTTTAATAGATCATAGCATGTATTGAAGTTAAGTTTCAAGGTTTTCATCCGGTTTTTTATGTGGTCCTTATCAAATGGATAACCAATTTTTTTAGTGTATTTTTTTTTACGACATTTGAATATGCTGTAGAGGTGAATGTTCCATCAACTCTATTACCATTTTCTTCTTGCTCCAACAATGCATCAATTAATACTTCATTCATTTCTTCTGTCCATCTTAGTGCATCATTCTTATTTTCAGTTGCATTTATATCTTTATTCGCTTTCTTCATCATTTTCCAAGTCTGCATTTTTCAATGTCATATGAAAAATAAATATAAGAAACAATTAATCACATCAACAGATTAACACAAAAATTTCACCATATTAGAGAAGTCACATAGACTATAAAAATGTAGGAGGTTTTATTGCTCTACTAATACGACACCAACAAATATTAAAATAGTTAAACAGGAAAAACGAAAAACAAAAAAAACAAAAAACATAATTATGCTCCATGTCCTAAATAATCCTCCCACATGCTAGCTGCTATTAAATTCCTTATAGCTGCTCCTTCGATAGCATCTGCTTCATTATTACTTGTATCAAGGTTTTGTCCATTGTCTAGATCAGCATTAACGTGATCGCGATCAACTTCTGCAATCAATCTTTCATCCGGATCAACACCCATTAGATAATTATGAAGTATACAACAAGCCAATACAATTTCTGTCACGGTGTCAACTCTATAATGAGCTTCTGCCCCACTTGAAATAATTGGAAATCTCTTTTTTACTACTCCAAATATTCTTTCAATTACATTTCGTAAAGAAGAATGTCGGTGGTTAAATAACTCTTCCATATTCTCTGGTGCACGTGATGAGTATTCTTTCAAGTGGTAGCGCACACCTCTATATGGTGTAATTAGCCCACTGTTTAGCATGTAACCTCCATGCACTAGATAATATTTACCTATAGCAATAAGTAATAAAAAAATCATTTATTTGTTTAAAAATTAAAAACTATATATTATTGTCTCTGAATTACCTGTATGGATGATTAGTTTATCTTAACGCTCTTTTAGTGCATTTTTAATTATCCTTGAGTCAGTTGCAGTTCTTTCCCAACCCGGTAAAACATACGTAAACTTCATGTCGAATGAGCATGCTGCTAAGACATTTTGTGTTGGGTAGTCTTTTCTTCCTCGATATCTCGGTGCATCTGTTTTAAACACTTTGACACGAATATGAGTTCCATTTATTGCTCCTACACAGTCCTGTAATTATTGAAAGCACTTGTATAATTTTCATATGTGGATATAATAATGTGAATTAGTGGTTTAACATTCTGTTACCTTGAAATACGGAAAGAATCTATTGCTGTTGAGTATTTCTGGAGGGACGTCTGAACCACTTGGTTGTTGTAGAAAAATTTCTTCTAATGTGATTATTGGTCTTAACACGTCATGGAAATGACGACTAATAGTGTCACCGGATTGGCAAAAAAAAAAATCAAATGGCACGGTTTTTCACATTATGTGCTAATATATAGAGAAACTTAGCCACTTACTCCTCGACTAAAGCATTTTTATTGTCCTTGAGGCGACCAGTGCCACGGAGTATATGGCACAACTTGGCAAATGCATGTGGCCTCATACGAATTATGTCATGACAATTTTCATTTGAAGCAAGTTTATTCATTAGTTGTTCTCTTGCTCTTTGTTTGTCTTCATTGATGTCGTTGATAGGCCTATCTATATAATGTGAACGGAATACTTCTCCCATCAAATAAAGAGCATAAACAACATAACAAATTACTTGTACCGCTACCATTCGCCGTCGTTGTTCCCAAGCATTCAATTGCCCTACTCTATCTTCCCACCAATTTTCTTCGCTACACTCATCTAAATTCTCCTCTTCATTCTCATCCCAATTATCATGTATATTTTCTCCAAAATTATCATGCCAATTATGTTCCTTGTCCATCTACCAAATAAATGTCATTTGTATCTAAATAATTAGTGAAACAGTTATTCAAATCACACACAATGTTATAAAGGTAAAATGTTTAATTAATATATATATATATATATATATATATATATATATATATTTCTCCACAGTTATACAATTATTTAATAAATGTTTAATTAATATTTTTATTTATTAAATGGTACTGTTTAGGCATTTGATGAACAATGAAAACCTACCCACAATTTTTGATGGATTTGCAGAAACATGAACATTTCAGGTTCTTGTGTCTTCCTTATTTATGCTATTTTCTATGATGGTAGTTTTTGTAATGATTGTTAGAACACCAATTATTCAAGTTAATTTATGTAAGAACTACAGAAACATGATGGGGTTGTGATAATTTTTTACATTATGCTAAAATATCTGACTTGTAGAAACAAGCTCTTCTGCTATTGTGTTGAATTGTGTATTCAAGTATCTGTGATCAGGCCTGTCATCCTTAGATTTTTAACCTATGCTCTGTTCGTGGTCAGAACAGTTTAGCGTTTCATAAAGCACTCTCAGAGCAACCTAAGGATCCTTTGGTAGTCGCTGCATTTAGCCTTGCCGTCCACAATGGTGGAGATATGTCGGAAGCCTTAAATATAACGAACAGTATCTCCAGAGCACATGATGACATCTTAAGTTAATTTATTAGAACCTCATAATCTAAATTCTGATGCACTGGTGGATGAGGTTATGAACAGTATCTCCAGAGCACATGTGTTATATCTATTATTTTAAGTTAATTTATAAGATAATATAGAAATCCTATATTGTAGATTATTTAAAGTTCATATGCAGCATAGCAAACAGTAGATTAACATCCGATTTCAAAATTTTCACCTTGCATCAATAGCAATATATATATATATATAACACATGAATCAAATCTACTTGTAAATTTTGTCGATCTATATATATGTATAGAGAAGAGAAAGTGCAAGAGAGAGTTTCTTACCTGCGTGAGAGAGATCGCTGGAGAGAGATCGCTAAAGAGAGTTCAACGTGAAGAAAAAATTTGTTTCTTGATAGGGTTTTGCGTGAGACGAGATGTGTATAGGGTTTATTTTTTAATTTTTGGGAAGGATAATCATGTAATTTAATAACTCCACTTGTTTTCTCTCTTGTCTTCTGCCCAAATTTGGACGGATGAAAATTTATAAAGAAGGAGGAATAAGCCATCCCTCCTATTATCCTTTCTCTCCATGTCTCCTTCCTACCGAACGAAGGAATTTTGTTCCTTCCCTCCTATTTTCCTTTCACCCCTCTTCCTTCCTTCCTACCGAACAGAGCCTAAGGGCCAGTTTGGTTGAGAAGAAATGAAAGGAAAAGAAAAGAAAAGAAATGGAGAAATACGGAGTTTTGTGTTTGGTATAAACGTTTAGAAGTAAAAAAGAGGAAATGGAAGGATTTTGAGGGATATGTTTAAAGCTTGAATAGTTATTTTGTTGTCCCTCTAAAAATTAAAGGAAATGGAAAGAAAGGAAGGGAAGTGGCAGCATTTTTAATGAAATTTTTAGCATATCAAATTTGCCCTTATATTTATAAAAGACAAGAACCATGGAAAATGTTATATTGGTAAATTCATTAAAATAGTTTTGTTTTTTTTTTTTTGTTTTTTTTTTTTTCAAACATGATTATTATCATTTTCTTCATTAGTCAACCAAACACGATAAATAGCTCACACTATCCTCTCATTTCATTTCATTTCTTTTCTCTCGTAACTAATGTTATCCATTCTTTTCTTTCCACTTTACCAAATATAGCCTAAAATATACTCCGCGTACCACTTTTATCCCTATTTGAAAATGTGTGTAAAAAACACCCTTAATATTTTTCGATCATTTTACAAAATTATTTAATTTTATATATTTTATAAAATAGTTCGAGTAATTTAGTCAACTTGGGATTTAAATTTGTTAGAGAATCTATTTGCACCAAATTAAAACTTTATGATTATTTTTTTTTATGAGGGATATGATATGCAGTGTCTTTACATTTAAATTTTTATATGAGTATTTAAATTTGTTAGAGGGACCCTAAAAAGTAGACTCACAAAAATAAATAAATTTGAATATTTTAGTTTTGGTTGAACTGAACTCGTCCTCAAGACAAAAAGAGTTGGTTTATTAGATTTAGTGAATAAAAATAATAAATAAATAAATTAGCTTATTTTGATATTAATGTTGTGGAGAAATGGACCACAAGTCCAAACTAGCCCGTGGATAATGCAAATCAAAGGTCACATAATGGACATGGATGTTCAGAACTTCAGTGTTTTGGGCCTTGCGGTCCTTGTCTAACTTAAGTTTTGAAAGCCCATCTTCACGGCCTAACGTAATATCCTAATAGCAAAACGTTCCCGGCGTAAATTAGCTTCCACCGCCGATTTCCGGCACTCCCAACTCTGCTTCTAGTATTCTCTCTCCAAAATTCTTCATTTTTCTAGAGAGAGAGAGAGTCCAGATCATCATCAATGGACGTACTCTTCAACTCAATCGACGTCCGAGATCTCCTCTCATCCCACGACCTCGACGACTCCTCCCCACTGTCAGCACCCGATCTCCGCCTCGTCATCGATCGCCTCCAAGTCCGTTCCCTCCATATCAAGTCCAAGGTCCAGAGCTACATTCTCTCTCATCACCAGGACTTCGCTTCGCTCTTCGCCCAATGTTCCGACGCCGTTTCGAGATCCGAACAGATATCGGGCCAAGTATCCGACCTCCTCGGGCTCATCTCGGACCACTCGGTCGACGTCGAGATCAGAGACGTAGTGGCGGAGATCGGGAGGAAGCGGAAGGAGGCCAAGGAGAAGAAGGAATTGTTGGAGTTGGTGAGGGCAATTGTGGAATTGAGCGAAAAGTTGGCGCGTGCTAAGGCGGAGATGAGGGCGGGTAGGGTGATTGAGGCGGCGGAGGCCATGACGGGGTTGAAAGCAGCGTTGCGGATGCGTGATGAGGCGGCAGCGACAACGGAGGAGAGAGAGCCAATGGTGTATGCTTTGTTGAGGAAGGAGTGGACGGAGTGCTTTGAGGAGGTAAGATGGACTAGTCTCTTGTGTGGTTGCTGAGAAAACTGAGGAAAACAAATTTTTTGAAGATTTTTTGCATAATTTGTTGTTTAATTTATCTATAAGCCAAATGATTGTACACCACCAGGTTTTTTGCCTACTGAAAGAATGACAAATTCAGTTAAAAATAACTATTAAGTATCTGAGCAAACTGAGAAGAAGGGAAGAAAATTTGTTGAGAGAAATGTTTGAAGATTTATATTTTTTAGTGGCTTGTTTAAGTTTGAAGATTTATATTTTTTAGTGGCTTGTTTAAACATGGAATGATTGAACTTAATGTGGACGAGTTAATGTGCTTGAAGTAATTGAATCAATTGCTTTTTCAACCAAATGAATGGAAGAATTTGATGTTTTAAATTCTTTTTCTTTTGTTCTTTTCCTTTTGTCAAGCAACTGAATGTTTTTACATTGTTTTTTGGTCAATTTTGAGTTATTTATTGGTGATTTTTATTGAGTTTGTGATTGTCTTTTAGATGAATTGGATTTGGGTTTGTAGATACAAGAAGTGCTTGTGAGGTTTATGGGGAATGCTGTGCGGTTTGAGCAGAAAAGTAATGCAGTTCGAGTAAAGTATCGGGGGAGTATAAACAAAACTGATGGGATTGAGCTTCATACGGTATTGAAAGCAATGGATGTAAGTCATAGGATTGTGTTCTTTCTACTTCAATTAAGTTGGATTTTGAATTCTTCTGGCAGGATTTTTGCATTTATGTTTGAAACAGGAAATACGGGTAAAAACTTTGAATCTTGGAGTAGAGGCGTATGAACTAAACACGCCCTGCCCCATATAGAGAAACACCTACTGATTTTGGAATTTCGTATTTAACTTGCTTTTGGAAGCTCAGATCTAAGTGATGATTTCACTTTTTGTGATTTGGGTTTGATGTAGGTGGTCGGAATTCTAGATTATGGGATTGGTAAAGTAGCAGACTTGATGATTAAATATGTCGTCACTCTGGCAGTTAATAGTAGATCTCCTTCTTCATTCGTGGAGGAAACAAATCATGACTCAGGACATTTGACCGATGCTGTTCTGAAGATAGTCCCTTCTTCTGATCCTGAGGTAAATCTTGTGATTGATGTTATACCAATTCTGTTTGGAGTCTTGACTGAAAGCTGTAGTTATATAAATAAAAAAATCCTAATAGTAGGGCATGCAAAGCAAATGAAATACCAAATTCTTCTTGGTTAACACTTTATTAACTGCCAAGCAAGAATAAGCACATGCTAAGCAACATCAATTATTTGTTCTGAATCTTCTAATACATAATTTTCTGAGACATAATAAGTATTTTACTTCTCACGTTTTAAATTTGTGTATGTGGTCCCTAGCCTAGCTGAATAGGTACTAGTTAAGAAGTTCTAAACTCTAATCCAATTGTTATTCTTCTAAGATTCTGAGATAGAAAGGTAATTGTTAATAGTTTTAAACTCTCTCATGGAGCTCCAATATCTCTAATTAAATTGTTTCATTCGTGCAAAATGAACTTCAAACTTTGAGTTTACCTGTACAGTATTTGTACTGATATATGCTACACATGTTATTCTCCTTTAAAACCTTTTGTTATGTGATAAGTCTCATACATTCAATCCTTAACTCAGCGTTTTCTTGATTAAGTTTGACATGAGATTGAACTACAGACATTATACAAAATCTATGTGATTGGAGACACTGGTCTATGAGCATAACCTCCTGCTTTTACATAGTCCCTTATGAAATGTATTTAGTGTGGATGCAAGCCACAGCATTGCATTTGTTATGCAAACTCGATCATGGAAGATGGGAATGCAAAGAGCTTGTTTCTTCCACTCACAATTTTGTTGAATATAGAATTAATGGTGGACCTTCAGTGTCTATGTTATATCAATTTATTTAACTTGCTAAAATGATATGTTCAGACACAACTTTTGTGAAAATTAGAATCCATAAGTTCTTTTCTAGAGTATCCTGAAGTGGGAAGATTCTGGTCGAATATTTAATTTATGGCTCAGGTATCTTTGGACTTAGATGGATTTTGTATCTGAAAATTTATTGTTCTAGTGTACGCTTTCTTGATTTCTCCAAAGTGGTGCTGGTTGCACTATAGTACAATGTATGGAACAAAATGATCCTCGTGTTATGAACTTATGATGCTATTAGTATGTCGACTGCCTTAAATGCTTTGCTCTTGGATTTGCTAACGGCATCTGCAATTTTTGTTGTACTTTTAGATTGAAAATGTTGATGCCGGAAAGATCTATTCAGCAATTATTCAGGCCATTAAGTTTATCTACAATTCAATTTGTTTTCAAAATGGTCATTGGATGCGATGTTTTGGAAGATTGATGTGGCCTAGGATGTCAGAGTTGATTATCTCCAATATCCTTTCTAAGGTTTGTTTTCCAAGTATTTTATTGGACTCACTAGGTTTTCCTATACTTCACAGTTTTGTCTCAATCTGGTGAATAAATTTTTATTACTTGAATTAATTATTTAATCTTCCTTTTTTACCAAAATAATAATAATAATAATAATAATAAATAAATAAATAAATAAATGGTTACTGAATAATCGATTAGAATTTTGAGCATTTTGTGTATGATTATTTGTGGTTGATTCAGCTAAAAAAGAAAATTCCGTTGTGCTTTTATATTTTTGTGATGTTATTGCTTTAGAATAGATTTGTCAGATTTGATTATGATGTTATTGCTTTTTTTCATAAGCAAATATAAGGTTGTCATGCAGCTCATACTTATCCCTGGTAACAAACTGTTACTTTCAAACAAGAATCTTATTGTATCATTTTAAGAGATTAAATAAATAAAAGTGATAAAATCAGTCAAAATAATCCAACCCAAACATTATCTTACTGTTCTTGTCTTTTCAGCATTGATGACAATCCGTGTTCTAGGGTGTAAATTTCTGTAAAGCATGCTTAATATATGTGTTCAACAGTACTTATCAAAAAAAATATATATTTATATGTGTGTCCTACAGTAGGAAAACCTTTTCATAACCAAGAAAATATATTGCTAATTGTCGTACAACCACACCGTCCAATCCACAAAAGGATGGACCATTTACGTGACAGTGTACCATTGCAAATTATGGGAAGGGTTGGGTATTGGAAATTTGTTACCTTAGAAATTATTCTGAAAGTTGTATGAGCAAATTCCAAAATGGATAAACAGGTTATGTGGTTTAGACTTAAAGAGAGGCTAATAGGTTTTCAACTTGTTCTTTATTCATTTGTTAATTTTAATTAAATCACTTAGCCACACAACGATTAAAACACAGAACACAAAATGAAATCAGTAAATTAAGGGCAAATTTCAATGTGAAGGACCTAAATGGGGAACTATCATGAGACCTGTTACAGAGCTCAACAATGCACTATGTAAGAGAAAAAGTTCAACTTTACCAGCCAATTCAGACTCCACTCTCTAAGTTTAGTAGCTCTTTGATGTACTTTCTGTTTAGTGTCCCCATTAGTCGACACAGCTCAATCAGAAGTAGGTTATATCATTTAGCTTATGATAAGTTTCTTCTGTAGTAAATTGTCATGTTTTACTAAGAAGATACAATTGCAGCTTCTTCTTCTTCTTCTTCTTCACCATTTTGAGAAGTTCCTTCTGTAATTAGTGGAGTAAACATTGTCATGTTTTACTAAGAAATTACAGTATTCGGCTTCTAGTTCTAAAGAAGTTTCAGGTAGTTTGTTTGGGAACATAGTTTTCATTTTTCTTGTGAGACCAGTTGTCAGTCAGGACCAGATTGATTGGTTAATTTTACTTCATTGGTTTGTCAACATGGAAGCTTAAATTACTGCTGCCACCCACCTTTACCATTGTGTAAGCAGTAATATTGCTTGTTGCATATGTGATTCACTTATGGCTGTGCTGTATTACAAAGAAACTGCTATACATAAAAGGGTTTATATACAAAGACAAGAAAGGCCTATTTGCATAATGGCCATGAGCTCTATATACAATTACAATCTGATCCCAACATAAATATACATCTACATGTAAATGTTGTAACACTCCCCCTCAAGCTCGAGAATATATATCATATAATCCCAGCTTGGAACATATCACCTTTAACTGATTATGACCAAGAGCCTTAGTAAACATATCAGCTAATTGATCTTCAGACTTCACAAATGGAGTAGAAATGTTCCCACTCAATATTCTCTCTCGAATGAAGTGGCAATCAACTTCAATATGCTTGGTTCTTTCATGAAATACCGGATTGAATGCAATGTGAACAGCTGTTTGGTTATCACAGAACAATGGAATAGGACTCTTGACTATTAACCCAAGTTCCTCAAGAAAATGTTGTATCCACGTTAACTCACTAGAGGTATGGGCTATCGCACTGCACTCTGCTTCAACGTTAGACCGTGCTACCAATGTTTGCTTTTTACTTTTCCATGTAACAAGATTTCCACCTACAAATGTGCAGTAGCCTATACTAGATCTCCTATCTAAGGGAGAACCAGCCCAGTCAGCATCTGTGAAACCTTCCACCCTAAGATGTCCATTTGATTTATATAGCAACCTAAAACCTGGAGCTTGCTTGAGGTATCGAATAATTCGAAGAACTGCATTCCAATGTGGCATCTTAGGAGATCCCATGAATTGACTTACAGCACTAACTGCATATGAGATATTCGGTCGAGTGATAGTGAGATAAATTAATTTCCCAACAAGACGTTGATATCTGCCAGGATCATCAAATAGATCACCTTCATCTGACAAAAGTTTTGTATTTGGATCCATAGGAGCATAAACTGGACGACCACCCAACATACATGTTTTTTCTAATAAATCCAACACATATTTTCTTTGAGATAAACTTATACCTTCCTTGGATCTAGCAACTTCAATACCCAAGAAATATCTGAGTTGACCCAAGTCTTTAGTGTGGAACTGATTTTGTAGAAACAACTTCAATTTAACTATACCTTCAGAATCATCAACTGTGATCACAATGTCATCTACATATACCACAAGGAAAATGAAACTAGCTTTAGTGTGCTGGTGAAACACCGAATGGTCTATCTGGCATCTTTTAAGACCAAATGCTAATGCTGCCTTAGAGAACCTGCCAAACCAAGTCTTTGGAGATTGCTTCAATCCATACAGGGCCTTCTGAAGGCGACAAACGGTATGACGATACTCCCCCTGAGCAACAAACCCAGGTGGTTGCTCCATATAAACTTCTTCAACTAAGTCACCATATAAGAAATTATTTTTCACATCTAATTGAAACAATGGCTAGGCAACAATGGAAATAAGGACCCGGATACAAGAAATCTTTGCAACAGGGGAAAAGGTCTCAACATAATCAACACCATAAGTTTGGGTGTGCCCCTTTGCGACAAGACGAGCCTTCAAATGCTTAATAGACCCATCATGAAGGTATTTGACAGTGTAGACCCACTTACAACCAACCGGTTTGGAACCAGGAGGTAAGGGAGCAAGATCCTATGTCCCATTACGATGAAGAGCATCCATTTCATCAACCATTGCTTTGCGCCAATCGGAATTAAAAAGGGCATCCTGCAAAGTCTTGGGTAGGGGTGCACAAAAGAACCGTAGAACCGGAACCAAAATTTCGGTTCTCATGGTTCCGGTTCCGGTTCCTAAAATGAGAAACCGTTGAGATTAGGTTCGGTTCCGGTTCCGGTTCCGGTCTCACTGTTTGGTTCCGGAACCGAACCGAACCGATATATATATATATATTATATTTGATTATATTATTAAATATTAGTAACCCTATTTCTAAAGCTTTAAAACAAAATATTTTAGGGCAAATCATTTTAGCCTCCCCAACTCCAAGCGCCTCCATCTCTATTCTCGTTCTTTACTCTGAACTTGCCCTCTCTCTCTCTGCAACTGTAAACTACAAAATCTACAAGAATCAGAAGTTCAAAACCCATATATTTCAGATCTAGAAAATCTACAAGAATCAGAAGTTCAAAACCCATATATTTTAGATCTGTCTGCAAGAAGTTCAAAAAATCAAAACCCATATCTTTCAGTTTCCACCGCCCGTTGTTTCAGTTCGGGTTCGCCGCCGTTCGCAAGCTTCAGCCGTTGTCTCTCAACTCTCAAGCTTGCCCCTTTCTCTCTCTGTGAGACTGCTAACTTGTATGTATGGGTTTTGTTTTAATTTTTTTTCTAAATCAACTATCAAGGTCTATAATTCTTGATTTTGTGTATTCTTGTTTTGTATATCAAGGTCTGTAATGTGGCCAGAGATTTGTGTTTGTGTATGCATATATATATATATATATATATATATATATCAAGGTTTGTAATTCTTGATTTTGTGTATTCTTGTTTTGTATATCAAGGTTTGTAATTATTGTGGCCAGAGATTTGCGAAGTTGATTCAGACAGTCAATGGTTCCTTGGAACCGAACTGGAACCAAACCGTGCGGTTCAGTTCCAGATCTCAACGGTTCGGTTCCGGTTCCATTTTTAAGGAACCGTTAAGATCGGTTTCGGTTCCGATTCCGTCAGGAACCGAACTGAACCGTGTGCACCCCTAGTCTTGGGAATAACAGTAACAGATAATGTGGATAAAAAACAGGATAAAGAGGGTGAAACATGATTATATGAGACAAAATTAGAAATGGGATGTGCAGTAACACAAGAACGAATACCTTTACGGAGGGCAATAGGAAGATCATCAGCAGGAGAAGGAACCTCAATAGAAGTAGACAATTGGGGTGGGGTTGCCTGTGATCGTCGACCATACACTTGTAGTGGTCGTGGTGTGACAGACTCTAATGAAGTAGACACAACCGGTAGCGGAAGCAACAGATCAGTATTTAAAGATGAACCACGGGCAGAGAAGGAAGGAGTGTCCTCAAAAAAGGTAACATCCATACACATAAAAGCACAACGAGTGTTAGGATCCCAACATTAATAACCTTTTTGAGTCTTAGAGTACCCACTAAAGACACACTTAATGGCACGAGGAGACAATTTATCAGTGCCAGGACGTAATATGTGAGCAAAGCGCACACACACAAAAACACGAGGAGTAAATGCAAATAACGGTCGATTAGGAAAAACAACAGAATAAGGGCATTTCTAGTTAAGAACGGAAGATGGCATACGATTAATTAAATAGCAAGCAATTAAAACAGTATCGCCCCAAAATGGCTTTGGAAGATGCATATGGATTATTAAAGTCTGAGCTATTTCAATTAAATGCCTATTTTTCCGTTCTGCTACGTCATTTTGTTGAGGAGTATAAGAATAAGAAGTTTGGTGCAAAATACCACGAGAGTCACAAAATGTAGAAATAGCACCTTTTACATATTCCATAGCATTATCAGATTGTAAAATTTTTGTAACACAGCCAAATTGGACATCAACAAAGGTAACAAAATATGAAAACCCTAAATTACTCACATGACGCACAGGACCCCAAATGTCAGTATGTACCAATTCAAATAAAGAAGACCGGCGATTATCAACTCAGGGAGGAAACGAGACTCCATGGTGCTTGCCTAATTGACACGACTCACATTCTAAAGTAGACACTAACCCAAGAGAAGGAATGGCAGACTTCAAGTACCTTAAGGATGCATGACCCAACCAATAATGCCACTGTTGGGCATTGGCTGAAGCTTATGAATGGAGAGCAGTACCACTAGTAGACGACTGACAATCCAAGTAATAAAGACCATTTTTCGCAAAACCACCACCAATTGTCAACTTCGTTTTGAGATCCTAAAAGACACAAAAATGAGTGATAAAAGGTTACAGAACAGTTGAGTGCCTGAGTGGGCTTGCTCCCTGATATTAAATTGAAAGGAAACTCAGGAACCAATTGCACAGAAGATAACAAAATGGAAGAAGTGAGGCGAATGGTACCCTGCCCAGTAATGGGACGAGTCCTACTATCAGCGAGAGTAACAAAAGTAGGAGAAGTAACCTTATGAAAATCAAAAAATAAGGATTCATTACCCGTCAGATGGGTAGATGCACTAGAGTCAAGAATCGAAGGAGAAGATGAAGATGGAAAGTGTGAAAAACATGCAATGTTACCTGATTAGGCGAAGGAAACAACACCGTCAACAGTTCCGGCTTGTGCCGAGTTAACTAATGAATTGAACTCGGCTCTGGACAGTGTGACACTATCAGTACTAGAAAATTTTGACATTGGAGTTTTTTTATTTTTTATTTTTTAAAATAAATAAATGTGTTCCCAAATAAAACAAACTCCCGAGAAGCCTAAAGAGCCAAACAGGCCAGGAGACAACAGAGGAGAGGGAAACAAAGAATTGAACAGCAATTAAACAAGGGAAAAGGAGAAAGAAAGAACACACATATATATATATAAGGAACTCACAACCTGATGTGAAGAATGACTGAGAAGGCAAGACAGAAAACTGGACTGATTTCAGATCTCGTAAATGGGTCAACAGAACCGGGTTGAACCATAACCGAATCTCTGCAAACCTGGTTTTAGTAAACCAAGGTTGGGATAGCTTCACATCCATAGCCAAACACAGCTCTTCTTCTTCACTGTGAACGCCGACGAGGACCACAATCTGCTGCCGACAACAAACACACAAGGATCTGAGGTCAAGAATGGAGAATCGAGACCTCCACAAGGCGAAGCCCCAATCACAAACACGGTGAAGCCTCTGCAAATCTCTCAGCTACAGCAAAGAACCACACTCAGTTCCAAATGAAGAAGCATACCACAAAATAAGTCGCAAATGGCGATTAAACAACTAATCCACAGTTGGCGACAACAACACAGACGGTCGTCGATGAAGAAAACGGCCACAATCAGGAACCGCAACACTGGTTCGAAACTTCCGTCAACACTCGCAGTGACAACAGCCTCTGAAAATGGTGATGAAGATGATGACTGTTCTCTGCTTCGTTCTGGCTATCTGGGCAGTCCAAGAGCAGTGCTCAGTTGGGTGTGACCTTGGATGTCACCAAAGCCCTATCTCTTCCCTCTGCTTGCAGTGCTCTGATACCATGTGCAAGTTTACATGAGAGAGAGAACAGATGGAGGCGCAGCCCCTTTCTTTTTCATTACTTCAACCCCAGACATAAAAGGGTTTATATACAAAGACAAGAAAGGCCTATTTGCATAATGGCCACAAACTCTATATACAATTACAATCTGACCCCAACATAAATATATATCTACATCTAAATGTTGTACCAGTTTACTAATGTAGATTGAAATTTCTACAATTTCTGGTTTCAGGTTATCCCTGACGATGCTTCCAAACTTTCTGACTTTCAGAAAGTAGTAAACCTTACATCTGAATTTGAGACTAAGTTAAAGGAAATGATGTTCATTGCGCCTGATAACAAGGATGAAAGATTGAGCAATTTTGCAGACAATGTTGAGGTTCACTTTGCATCAAGGAAGAAAGTTGAGATCCTGGCGAAGGCGAGAAATTTGCTTCTACAATCTAACTTCAACCTTCCTCAAGTGAGTTTGATATGCTGTAACGCTGTATTTATGTAGTTATTTGGGATGTTTTTGGTTTGAATATTGAATCTTTCTGCAGGACTATACAGGGAAGGCTACTAAATTGAAGAATGATGGAAATGCTGAAAATTCTCCTGATGGTGTTGTTGACTTGCTTTTTTTGTCTGAGAGGTGCACAGTGTCTAAAGCAGCTTCTCAACTAATGGAACTAGTGCATCAAACCCTTAAGGTGTTTTATTATTATTTTATTTTTTTCCCGGAAGGTAACCCTTATACCTAAAGAAGAATATTCATCTTCCACCCAACAACCAACCCCCCCACACCCCCCCAAAATGGTGGAAATTTAGATATTTCTTTTCAATTTTTAGGTGCCTCTGCTATCTTTATATGTGTGTGTGTATAAATATACACGATCCTTACATTATTGCCCATGCATATAAGGAATTGGGTGATGCAAGTTTTTTTTATTTTTTTTCATTGGCAATGCAAGTTTGATGGGCATTCATTTTTACAGTGGTCTTATTATAACTGAGCAACGTTTGTACTATTTCTTGAGCAAGCAATTGAAATAACGCAACATGTGCAGGATGTTTGCTTGTCTTCGACAAGAGTGGCACTGCAATTCTATCATGCTGTTAGAGATGCTCTACTTCTTTATGGAGCTGTTATTCCTGTCAAGGTTAGTGAATGGCAGTTACATGCAGGAAAAAGAAAAAGAAACAAAAAAAAAAAAAAAAAATTAAAAAGGAGATAGAGAGAAAAGAAAGGTTCAGCTTGAGACATGATTTATGTTTATTCTAGACGTATTGCATATTGCTATTCATGCAATCTTCGTATGGCGAAAGAAACTTACTTTTCTACTATTTCTTGCTCTTTACTAGAGCTTTTTGATGATCTCTCTACTACCAAAAGGAAAAAAGAAAGATTATCTCTCTTAATTTTCAAAGCTTGAGTGAACCACCAGATGTGTTATATCTAAAAGTTTCATGCTGTAACTTATTCATGACTACGGTGGTAATCTATTTTTTTTTTTACTTGTGAAGCTAGAAAGGCAGCTTGATGGCATCAATCAGGTTGCTGGTCTAATTCACAACGACTGTCTTTATCTGTCTCAGGAAATTCTTGGGCTTGCATTTGAGGTATGGTTGTGTGATCTTATGCAATTAACTTATTTACATTGATACTTCTCTATATTATTGTGCATCCAGTCTATTATATTGGCTATTGGACTTAAATATTCTTGTTAGATTAGGAGGTCACCTCACATTTTGGTAAATGACATGTACAACATTTAACTCACCACATACACCTATTTCAGAATTTAAGGCTAGTAGCAGAAGTGTATTTTAGTCCTATCAGTATGGTTTCCTGAGTGGGTTCAGGCATATAAAACTTATGCTAAAATGGGGTTATGATGGGAATCAGGGTGTTTAGATAACTTAGATGAATCCTAAGCAGGTTTTTGTGTGTGAGTGGTCGTCTTTTTTTAATCTGTGTAAGTAAATGATTGCTTTTGAAATGTACAGTTTTTTAAATTCGGCCTTTTGGATTTGTTTTGACTTTTGCTCCTTCTTGTTACCTTTATATTATATTATTGTAAATTATGTTATAGGATTTATTAACCAATTACAATGAAGGAACATAAAAGAGAAATTTGTTGTTATAGTCAAATTTCAAGAACGGCATACCTTGCCTAATGTTGATGGTTAAATCCTGGTTATAAATTGCTTGGGTAGAAGTGTTATGGTAGTAACCTCAACTTAGACTGAGACCAAGGTTTAAGATTTTGAACTCTTAAACCAAACTATCAAATGTTTATAATATTTCTTTAGATTTTGCTTGGCTTTAGTCATGCTTGAAGTGAATTAATAAAACTGATTTATTGAAGAATAAAAATGATTGAACAATGACCTGGCAGACACACAGAGCTGATTCAACTTTTCTTTTATGCTTCATTTGGCATGATGGAAGCATAAGTGGACAGAATGGGGGATAGAAGGGATGGAAGATGCATCTCTAGTGAAGGAATGGTGTCCTTCCCTCTTTTTTTTTGGTTGGGTGGAAGGGAGGGGAAAGAGGTGACCCCTTTGATTGTTTGGTATGAGGGAAGGGAAGAGTTTATTTCTTTTCTACAATTATAACCTCCATTATCTAAATTAATACACAAACAAAGGTTGAACAAATTTTAATGAAGGGTAATTTTGTCATTTTACAATTTATACAATGGTTTTTGTGATGCTGTGGCCCAAATTTTGTTTTGGCCTAAGTCTCGTTGTGACCTGTTTTGACCCGAAAAATGGTGGGAAATTTGTTTGATATTTTCTATTGCAGGTCATGGACCCTGTTTAGTACTCACGTGCAGCCCGATATAAAAGGGCATTTAGGGTTTAGAGTGGGATAACAAGAGAAAACTAAAAACCACAGGAGAGAGAGAGAGAGAGAGAGTGTGTGCTAGGGTTTGGGGGCCGAAACTTGTAATATGTTGATTTTCGCATAGTGAAGTCTTTCGCTGGATCTTCACCGTGGACGGTCTTTGGCGAACCACGTAAATCTTTGTGTTCTTTGCGTGGCGTATTATTTTTTTCTATCGTGATTCTTGATTGTGTTCTTGGTTCGCAGTGTTTGTCGTAAAGTTTTCCTTCTTTTCCAACCTCCATTCCATCCCCTTTTAGGAGAATGAAAAATGGTGTGCCCGGACGGAAGCATCATCCCTCCATCGTTCCCTTCCCTCTTCCTCTCTCTCATACCAAAAAATAGTGACCTGCTCTATCCTTCTTTTCCTCCCTCCGTTCCTCTTCCTTCCTTCCTACCAAACAAAGGTTTAGTCATGGAATTGATCTGATTTGTCCTGCAATAGATAAACCTTTTGTAAGCTCATACAGGTGTACTCCACTGTTTCAGTATCGCTCAGACTTTCCAAGTTCCATCAAAGAGCTTGCTGTGTTTATTGATTTGGCTCCAAGATTCCAGTTTATGGCAGAAGAAATATTACAGAGACAGATTCAACTCGTCATTTATAACTTAAAGGAGGTATACTTGTTGAAATGTAAACATGGACCATATTTTCTTTTTACTCTTTTATTTATTTATTGCTAGGCTTCTTTGATTCATTACTCCGGAAATCTTGTGCTTTATTAGGCTATTGATGGTGCCGATGGATTTCAAAATACCCACCAATTGCAACACTATGGGTCTGCAAAGTTTAGCATAGATCAGGTAGCAATGATGTAAATTAATGGATGCATTTTTGTTAAAATTATTTTTTGCACCTTTTGTTCTTATCTGGGGATAGAAGTAACTGTTTCTTGATCAGGTTGTTTTCATCCTTGAGAAAGTACGTATGATTTGGGAGCCTCTTTTGCTTCCATTGACTTACAAGAGAAGTATGTGCATAGTTCTGGAGTCAGTTTTTTCTAGAATGACTAAAGATATACTCCTTTTAGATGACATGGCAGCGGAGGAAACATTGCAGGTGCAATCAATGAACTTTCGTTCGTAGTTTCTGTCCGTTGAAATTTTGATTATTAGAGGCTTACATGTTATTATGTTTCAGCTTCAAAGACTCATTCATTTGATGTTGGAGAACCAATCTTCTTTATTGGACTCACTGGTTGCTATCAACCAAACAGGGAAGTCGTCACAGGAGGGCTTTACGTACTCTATAGACAATCTCATTCCCTCCCTACGTAAATTACGCAGACTGTCAGGCATGATTCCTTGACACATTCTTTTGTGATATTTGATTGTGATTGTTTAACATAGTCGTTGATTTGCAATTAAAAAACTAACTCAAATTTACCTCTTTCTCACATAGATTTGTTGGACATGCCTTTAAAGTCTATTACAGCAGCTTGGGAAAGTGGAGAGCTGGTCAATTGTGGTTTTACATCATCTGAGGTACAATAAGATGGATAAGATGAATTTGAACACTTCCAGCCATTAGATTCACATACTCTATTCCATTTTGGTTAATTATATTGGCAATCAACTCGTAGATTTTTAAGCAGAAATCTTTATAATGTTCCATGTTGGTAAATCATAGTGATTGGACAGAGTTGCTTTTTTTTTTTTTTTTTTCCCTTTAATATTCAATGTTCCTCTGATATCTGCAACCCTTTTCTTTTCTTCAATGGCCATTTTCTTGTATAAATTTAACTACATGGTCGCAAATTTGAAGATTCAAAACCACATCTATTAATGATATTTGTTACCATTTTTCTGTCATATATATTTGATCCCTCTTCTATGAGATTGTCTTGTGGATGAAAAAATATTTTGTTCCCTGGGGGACTGACTATATAGTACCTCCGGCCATTGAAAACTCGCTATTTTCCTTGATGATATGAAATCATTACAGTACTCACTATTGGCTGGGGGTACCACATTGTTGGTTCCCCCCGGGTACCCAATAATTTATCCTTGTGGATTGATGTTTTATAACCTAAGCTGTTGACTTTTGCAGGTGGAAGATTTCATCAGAGCCATATTTACAGATTCACCTCTGAGGAAAGAATGCTTGTCAAGAATCGGAAATTCCTACTTTTAGAAGTTTCAAGGGCAGATATGACCCCTCCCCCCCTTCCCCCTTTTAAACCAGCAGGTCGAATTTGCCCGTTTCTTAGATTTTTTTTTCCCCGAACCAACTAACAAAAAGCAGATGCAACTCTCTCTAAAGTTTTTGTTTGTATTTCTGTATTTATAGAGTTGAACAGGAAAATCTTCTATCCAAGGCATCATTTTGTAAAATATGTGCTTGTAGTGACTTTGATGAAAAAAGAGGAAAGAGAAAAGTTGATTTTAACAGGAGATTGTAAAGGACTTCTAATATATATATATATATATTATATGCGTGTGAGTCTATATACGTATATATGGGTGTATTCCTTACTTTGGTGGTGGAGGGCTGATCCTCCGAGACCTCCATGATCTTCCAGTCAGAATCGCCTAAATTAACCTTCCCACCTTTGCAGGAAGGAGACGCTCTCCCCCACATTAAGTTACCAAAAGTTTCAATTTTTTCCTTCAGCTCATGGCCATTTTTGCATCCACAAATGTTGAGTATAGTTTTGTGCAAAATAAAATTTCTCCTTTGATATTGGGTACAGTCTCTTCATTCTTCTCGTTGTTAAATTATAAATGAAAACCGTGAAGGGATATCATACCAGTGCAAATTCGTCATTTCAGTCTACACTCTATAGAGAAATATTTGAACCTATGGATGCTACACAATCAATAACTAAAAATGATACCTTCTGAAAAAAAAAAAAAAATAGTAACTAGAAACTGAAGCATTTATTCTTTAGCGAGTTCTGGAGTTTGAAGTAGAAATTGATACATTTGTTTCGCCATCAAAGAACGGGACCAACCATTTCATATGAACCTATTTGTTTAATCTAGTATGCTAAAAAGAACATCTTGATTGAATGAAAATAGACAAAGCTTTGTTATGCAATAAATTTTTTATAGGTAAACTAGTTGCTTTAGTACAGCAACAATCAAGCAACCGAAGATGCATTGCTTGTGAGGTATAATGCTCATAACATCAAAATCATTTCTATAAGATGTCACTCTTTTCCTTCTAATTAAGATTAACTCCGAACTGATTATCGTTAATCCTTGTTTGTAATTACTCAGCCATAAGTTCATCTAGGGAGAACTCATCTTCTTCAACAATTTCTCCGTCTTTGCCATCCCATGGCTCGGTGTTAACAATCAGAGGTGTACTCCCTAGACGCAGATTACCATTTCCCCCGAGTCCAGCTTTTTTCACAAATTCTCTGAGAAATTAAATGGACTGTATTCATGGTTGCTTCATTTGATATCATTACATTTAAATGGAAACGGAAACAAGATACTTACACTATCTGGTCATGCTGAAACGCACTACGAAGTGGTGCATATGCTCCTTTCTTAAGGTTCAGGGCTACTAAAGCTGGGTACCCGTAACCACCAACACGTACATGCTTTTCAAGATCTGGCTGCTTACCTGCACCCGCCCAAACATAGCTGCAATATATGTCAAATCTTAATTTTAGTTATAACTGGAGACTATTGTCCATCCATTGAGCCATACAGCTTTCATGTTTCTTTCAGCATTTTAAAGGTGTATTCATATGATGTTAGACAGACACTCTGCTGCGTTGAATCTGAAAATGATGAATCTCATGGTGGGAATTTAAGAAGATGAACGAAGATGAATTTAAGCAAAGGAAGCATTTATTATTGCCTGTAGGAACTCATTTTGAACTTCTCTGCCACTGATAACAACATATCTAGGTACTTGTTCCTTCCTTCTGCCTTGGAGTCCAAAATGTCAGGGAGGAAAGAAACAAAACAAATGGCAGCTGAACCACACTTCTCCACCATCACATCCTACACCGAAAGATCACAAAATGTCATTTACCATGGAAATATTTCATACAGAGAATATTTGGTTGGAACAAGAAAGCATACTGGGCCAGTCAACTCAGTCACTTCAGGAGGCAAAACATTTGTTTCGAGCTGCTCTAGAGCAAATGATTCAATCGCCAAGGCAGACATTGCACCTTCATAAGGGGATGGACTCTTTTTGTCGGCACCAAATACCAAGATAGTGGGGAAATCTTGCACGTTGTACCTGTTCATTAGAGACTGGTAACCACACCGTCATTATAACAATACATTTTGATAAGCAAACAAGCAAAGCCAATAATTCTACACCAAACAAATAGTCATCATATTTATCTTATGTCTCATCTTCAGAATCAAACTGGTGCTAACGCGAAAATGTCATCTTGTTTTCATTGCTTCAGGGGGAGAGGTTCTTCACCTATGAAGTATGAATTGGACACCAGAAGCATACAAGGAAAGGAAGTACCGAATATGGGCACAAATTATGATGATAAGAGAAACCTGGTGGTATAGGTAGTTCAAAAACTCATTTGTACCCAATATAAAAATAAAAAAATAAAATAAAAACCCTAACAGAAAATAATGGACACCCACAATGCTTCCGATAAAGCTAAAGTCCAAAACTTGGGAGGACAAGTTAAGAAATCCAGTGAGTTAATTGTGGTGACAAATTATTATTACATAATATAAAGACAGGTCAGAAAGGAAACAGGTTGTCAATATACCAGGTCAGGAACAAAATTCAAACATTACCTCCTCCGCAACAGAGTCCACATGACCCAACTTCACTCTGCCCTTCAAATTATTTGCTGCCTTCTTCCAATCCGGAGCTAGCCTCTTGCAGTGTCTACACCTTTAAATGAAAATAAGTTGAAAAATATATATATTACTAGAGCTATAAAATTGATATGTTATGGATATTAAAGCACTAGTCGATGCAATCTAAGCCCAAACATTAGGACTTGCTATTCAATTTATACCACATAATTGTGTAAATATCTAAAGATCAAGCGCCACGAAGAGGCAAATTTCAACTTCTTGTTCTGTACATTCATTTAATGACAATACTCTTTTAACACCATTCATATTAAGATTTTAGTTCCCAGCAATATTTAGTTTTATTTTCAATAGATCTGTCACCTGCAGATCCCAGAGATCCCCTCAAAACTCATTCAAATGCTCAAGCAAGTACAATTTGCACCAGCTTGTGCCAAAACATCTTGTACTCATAAATTTCATTAACAATAATCTCTGTGAGATTATAGTAGCATTAGCCAAGAATGAATTAAGTTACAGTTCGAAGTTCTATTCTAAATCCTCAGTGACTTGAAATTTGTCCAGTGAGTCGCCTTTAAATTATATACTAAAAAAATGAAATGTTCTTTTGAGCACTCGTGCTATATGTGGAAAGTGAATAATCAGCCAACCACAGCTAACACAAAATCATCCAGGAGTACTGGATATATTGACCATAATCTATACCAGTCATATGATGTTACGATTCATGATAGATCAGAGCATCTAGTGACTGGCCTTCAAAATATAATTAATATTTTGAATTTTCTTAAGAGCACTTATGATATATATGGACAGTGAAAATCATTCAAAACGGTTAAAACCTAAAACCAGTAAGCAATACTTACCAAGGTGCAAAGAACTCCACAATCCAAAGTTCTTTACTTTTAAGCACCAATTCATCGAAATTAAGTGAATTCAATTCTACAGATGCACTAGGCTCAGATTTTTCATTTGATCCTCCCAATGCTTTTCCATTTATCCTCTCTTTTAGAAGTGCCTTTATCTGTAAACAACTGAAATATCTTAGCATTTTCATTTCTGATAACTGGTACCTAGAATAAGCTAAGATGTGTCGTTGCTCATAACGATTTAATCAGGAGCTTCACAAGGAAATATGGTACCATTAATTGGGTACTCCATGCACACCTCAAAAAAAAAAATTAATTTTCAAATTCTAGGTATTTGAAAATGCCATTGCATCAATGGTTGTTTGCCACCTTTTTTTTTTTTTTTTTCTTTTTTTTCTGACAGTACAAAGAGAACTAAAGAACAAAGAGAACTGATTTTAAGGCTTGGAGGAGCCAAGTGGACCAGATGTCCCACTCTAGATCTCAAACTAACTTAGAGGAGGCCCATTTACTAAGAAGATTGGCCGGCTGCACATCCGAGGAGCCCAAACCAACTTAAAAACAGAATGGGCTTTCATGATTTGTTGAATGTCGTCTAAGATAACTGACGATAACTCATTAGTGGGAGAATAGCTTGTTATGTTTAAACAATTTTCAAATATATATTAGTTTTTGCTTTTGACTATGTAACTGGGCATGAAACTCTGGCATCATGAAAATCATTCCCACATTTTACCACAAACAAGTTCCATAAATAGCATTTAAGCAGTTGGTTGCTTGGTGCATCATATTCAAAGAAAATTGCATTATGTTAAAAAAAGGATTGATCCTTTTTCTTCTAAGATAATTAGATAAATAAGAATACATCACACTTTTCTTCTCTTTTTTCTTTGCTCATTTAATTATCAAAAGGAGATGCAGTGCAACATTTTATGCCACAAAAGAAGAAAATATAAGAACAAGATAAAGCTACTGTAGATGGAATTTTTAAGTTGAGTAGATAAATGTAATAACCTGTTGGACTGCAAATTCTGCAATGGGTTCAACATCCCTAGCTCCTTTGTAATCTACTGGAGATTTTCCAGCTGCAAACACCTTCATTGTTGGAAACCCTCTGATCCCATATTCCTGGAAGAAAAAGAGAGGGGAGGGGGGGTTTTAGGAAGGGGGATAATGCATTAAAATAGCACTAACAAAATTAATCATCATTATAAATTTTTAGTTACTACTACAGGAAATTAGATAAATGAAAGCTCCAAAACAAGTGAAAATTTAATCTATGTGCCATTGGTTATTATAGTTTCTTGTTTCTTTTAATTTGTATTTGGTTTATTATTTTACTTTTTGGAATGCGGTGCCATTGGTTTTTAAAATTGAGAATATGACATTTCGTGACAAGCCCTATAGCTATAGAAAGCAAATTGAATGATCAAGATAAATACTAGCACCAAGAAAATGCCAATAGTTCAGGAATCAGATCCACTGTTCGAATTAGATTAGGTAACTAATTCCAACTAGATTATTGCACAGTTGTACTGGTCATCAGTCCATATCAAAAAGAAAATAGAAGTCCCTAATTGTGTTTATATTGTTACACCTTTATGATATTCAACTTGCAATAACTGCCAGTGCCAGCCCAGCATATTTGATTTACTTCGTTTTATGTAAACGCAGCTCACTTCTTTTTTCTCCCCTTGTGAAACCTTTTACGCATATCCACTACCAAAAGAATAGAACAATGTATCCCATCAGATTATGTTCAGAGGCAGTCGATCACAAAAACAAGAAATAGAAAAGCTAAAACTAGGTATTGTTTTGTTAATATTTTGGTAATAACTTCTGTGTGTGTGGCTTTGGAGCAAATTAGTGAAAAAATGCAAAGAAAGTCATGTGTGATAATAGACTATAAAAGTCATTTTATAGAGGGAAAAAAAAAAAAGTGTAAGACATGCTTTTAAGTTGAAGTAGAAAAAAATTCACTTGCAAAAGAAAATTTTACTTTCCCTCTGGTGCTAGTGTTATCATTACCTCTCACAAACCTTACTACTACCACCGTCTCTGCACAATATGCTACCATCTATCAATCAGTGTAGATTTTTTCAGTTTTTCTCAACCTTTATAAGATTTTACCATCAATAGTTCAATACAAACAATTTACCACCACCTAAGCTAATGCAGCTAGCACTACTAGACACTCTTCTGCCTCCAACATCAATATAACTGTCGCTAACATTACCGCCATTATTGTCACAACCATTAGGTCCTCCGCTATCCGAATACTATCTTCCTTGCATCACCAACAACTTATTCCAGAAATATCACCAAACCAAACTGCCACAGCGACTAATATGACCATCACCCACAATGACCATTACCAACTATGCCACACCCATAAATGCCATACAGTTTTTTTTAAAAGCTCCTTTTAATTTCTTTTTCAGAGCCCAATCAGACGGTGCCTTAATGATATCTACCGTTTTTTAGTTCTTACATTACCTATGGTCAATCAATCTTGTCATTGCTCATACTGCATCCATGGACAACAAGAAAACAACATATTTCTAGTAATCACATTAATCACATAAGAAGAAATATATCAACTATAGAAAACCTGAGCAAGAGACGGGTGAGCAGCAGCATCAAGAGCTGCCACAGTAGCCACACCTTCCAAGACTGCTGCAACCTTTTCCCATGTGGGTGTCAGAACCTGACAGTGGAGGCACCAAGGTGCAAAGAACTCAACTAGAATGACCCCAGTTGAATTTAGGACCTGCCATCATTCCAAGCCCCGGGAAAAAAAAAAAAAAAAAAAAGTAAAATAAAATAAAATTTGTTAGAAATTTAGATACCTATGTTGTTCCAAAACACTTTATTTTTTTCTTAGGCAAAATAGTCATTGTCCAGTAATTCTAAGAAGCTTCATTTTATTTATTTGTATCCTTTTTATTGAGACAAAAGGTGACAAAGGCCTAAGAAAATATTAACTTTGCCAATTAAAATTAATATAGAAAAAAAAAAAAAAAAAAAAAAAAAGAAAAGAAAAAAAAAAAAAAGAAGAGGTAAAATGACGTTAAAATTAAAAAATACAAAAAAAGGTACATTAAAAAGAAAACAAATTGAGACTCACCACCAGTCCTCATGCTTATTTTTAGAAAGGAAAAAAACTGCATTAGCACATTGGCAATTTGGAGCTCCTGCTTTAACATATAGATAAAATTGCACACAGAATCATAGTTTGGAAAGGACCTCTTGTAAAGAAAAAAGGGAACGAAGAATAAAACTAAGAAAAATTCATCAACAATTTGTATTCGAATCAATAAAATCGTTTCCCTAACAGCGCTAAACGAAATTGATATGTAAATGTCGAGAATATATACATATATACCAGCAACTACACACCATCAAATAGACCCATTTTAAATGCTAAAACTAAAGATTGATAACGTTTATATTTAAAGGTTTTTGCATGACCCATTAACAGGAATTTGAAAATTGACTCGGATCTAAGATTTATATGAACAGACACAAAGTACCCATTAATTAAAACTTGAAAAATTTTGGATAAAATTATCTAAATTGAGATACAAGGGCATCTAATTCGACGATCGTGTCAAAATTAGAGATTTTTATGAGCATTTACCTTGGACTTGAAGTTTGAGGGGTTTAGTTGAACAACTGGGGATGACGGACCGTACAATGCAACAACGCGGGAAGAACTGAACTCGGAGATTAATGCCAACAACGAAAGTGCGATCAACACTTGTGATGAATGATGCATTCTCTTTCTCTATCTAAAAAAATTGTCTTGGCGCGGCAATAAAATCAGAATAGAAAACTGTCGACGCAAAGAAGAAAATTGGATAAATTACAATCAATTACCTCCGTCTAGTTAGGATTTATTACACTTTCCTCCCCTGTATTTTAGATAATTATATTTACCTCCATGACCGTCAGTTTCAGATGATATGTGGCAAAAAATTTTAAAAATATATCTTTCAAATTATTGTAAATTACAATTATACTCCCAATGGCATTTTGGTTAATATAATTTTCTTTAGTTTAATACTACTATTTTATTTTTAGCATACACGAGCAAATGAAAAAAAAAAAAATTACTTTTTTATTTTTAGCACAAGGAAAAATAATTTCACCAAGTATGATGATATACGGATCATGTGTAAATTTTAATTACCAAATTTTACAAAAGATGTATTACGCTTCCATTAATAAATTTATTCACAAACGTGTTTGTAAACTCACGAGTCGAACTAAAATATACTTGAGGTCGGCTCGTTTATTAATCGAACAGATATATTTTGTTCGGTTCGTTTATTAAATAAATAAATGCGGGCCAAACTTTTAGCAAATTGAGCTCGAACTGCTCGGGAATAGATTGGCTTGTTTGCGGTCCTGATAACATGATTATTATGAAATTCTTGCACTTTAAACTATTGTTTTGAACAATAACAGTTGGTTCGATTTCAGCAAGCAATGTTATGTTAAAATTTCATGTTCTATGTTTGAACTTGGTTTTGATGTGATAGGCCCAAATTGATTTTGAAAGAAAGACAAAATGGTTGTTAATTTGGTGAATGTGCTGAATCAGAAATTTTAGGGTTGTGGTCCTTGAGGTGAAATCTTAAAGAAGCAAGGAAGGTATGATTGTATAAGTTACGCTAGGATGAAGACCCAAAGTTTGGGTATTGAGAGTTGGGACTATGTCGCTGCGAAAAGTTGGCCCCTGGATACCTCTCACAGGGCTACCATTGGATTTGATAGATGCAATTCACCAAATGTATGACAAAATATGAAAATTGGGGATATCCTCTGATTATTTAATTTGGGTATTGATTTGAAAAGTTTGGGTCAATTTGGCATGCGTTATGATATTATTTTTCTGATATCGATATTTAAATTTGGACCCATATTATATTTGGGACGTATTGATTTGAAATAATTTATAACATATCAGATTTTTTGGTCAAAACCCATATCACAAAATTGGTGATATTATGTGTTTTTATATTATAACAGAGGAATTAAAAGCAAATTTTTTAATATCTCAAAACAAAATTTCGTTACCAAATATGATTTCGATTTTTACCCAAAACACTTCTACAACAAAATAAGTGTTTTGGTATTGACAAAAAATATAATGATTAAAACACATCGCATGTCAAATGGGTCCTTAGATTTGAAAACTGATGGGTGTACTTCATTATTGGATTTGACGGGCTGGATTTTTAATTGCATGATTAAATCTTGTTTAACAAATTTATAATATGTCATGTTTCATGATAATTTGGAAGAGTGTCTTTTTAAAATAATCCGGTTATAGTTGTTCTCATCAGTTTTGTATTAGTCTTTGTCAAACTCTTTTTCTTTTTCTTTTTTTCTTTTTTTTAAATAAATACTTACACACAACACAAATAAGGTTGTACTAACAGGTTAAACCTAGTAATTATTATCAAATTCCTTTTGTTACGCAGATGGCTTTCATTACAACAAATGAGGTTTTGACATTATTTTTTGGCAGATAATATTCTGGATTTTAGTACACTTTTCATTTATTATTTATTATATATATATATATATATACACACACACACACACACACATTTATTTGAGTAAATTGACATCTTTTTGGAGTTTTCACCTATTTATTAAAGAGATATGATGGTTGGGCCAAATTGGACTTGGGCCTATAGTATATACACAATGTAGGTCGCTCCCCCACCCGACTCTCTCATTGAAACAAACAGCAGTCAGCAAAGGCCCAAATGAAATGCGGGTACGTTCAACGAAAACTCTCTGCGAACAAGAAGGCGATAGCCGCAGTGTGACCACAACCCATCGCCGGAACCCTTCAGGTGAGTTCTACTTTACAACTTTCTCCTCCTCTTCTTCTTCTTCATCATCACAAACCCTAGTTTTCCGAAAAACTATAATTTCTCTTTATTTTTTCTTTGCCCTTTCACAACAGATTTTATTTCCTTTTTGTTTATTTCTCTTGGTAAGTTTCTTCAACCTTTCCGCTCGATCTGTTGTCTGCAACAAAATTCTCATTTTTTCACTGATTTTCTGCTCTTTCTCCTTTCTCACCCCTCTTTTATTTTTGGCTGCGTTTTTGAGAAGTGGTGGCTACCATGACACTGTAATTTATAGCTTATTACACTGGACAGTTTAATTTGAAAAACTATGGAACGTGGTTGCTATTATTATTAATTTAGTTGAAACTTTGTAAACTTGTGAAAATAGAACTAGCGAATAAGTGAAAGAAAAAGAAAAAGAAAAAAGAAGGAATTTGTCTGCTAACTCTACAAGTTACGGATATTTTGTCAACTGCTTGCTGTAAAAAAAAGGTTGGTGTTTTGTTTACCTTTATCTGTATGGGTAATTTTTGATGCTAAAGATATAATGTTTTGATGATAAATATGTGAGATTCTGGATTATTTTCATGATTATGTATGCCATCTTCTTGACTCACTGACTCTTATAGATGCAAACCTTATAATTATATGTTGTACAGTTAAAACTTTAAATGATTGTATTGTTCCATTGCTTCAGATTTTCGGTGTTATATGATTTATTTGTATGTTTTATATACAGCATGGACCTTACTTCACTCAGGCTCTCACATTGTCTTGCGCCTTGTGTCTAGGCTCCAGGGGACCTTTTGTGCTTAGTGCACCTTGAGGTCCTTATGCCTTTCAAATTTTCAGTAACTATGTCGCCTTAAACTTTGTTTTAGGGGGGTCAAATAACCCTCTAAATTTACTCAGTTTTTTTACAATTACCCTTTACTATCATACTACTGTGAAGAGAAAAACACAAGTAATCACTTGCAAAGCACGACATATGATATGACTATTATGACTGACCATTATGATGACCATATTTGACCCATAATAACCATTTTCTAACCCAAAAAACCAAACCCCCTCTCTCCCTCACACACACACGCACCAAGTGAAGCAAACAATAAAAGGAACAAGTATCCTTTTTTTTTTTATTGATAAGTAAAAGGAACAAGTATCCTTACAGTAGTAAGGAAGAATAGGAATACTCCAATCACCGTCGGAGCCTTAGATTTCTAAAGGGAAATCTGGGAAAGCCTTAAGAGAAGTTTATACTCTGAAAATAACTCAAAATATGATTATGACTTGAATACAATAGATATAGAGGTCTGTCCTTTTTTATAATAAGACTATTAATGACTCTTCAATTTTCTAGACTGACACTTGACTTCTCCTAAAATGACTTTTAGACTTCCCTTCCCACACTACATTAATAACATTTTACCACTTCCATAAGTAAACACCTAGTAGTTCCAAAGCTTAATTAATTAGTACCCAAAAACAAGAATGATTCTTTGACTTTTTTCCCCAAGGCACTTTCCAAGGCTATTAATTTTTATTTGCACCAAGGTTTTAAAATTTCTATTTAGCTGAATTGGTAGTCAAATCAGGATCCCAACATTCTTGCGATCCTATAGAGATCCAATTAGGTATTTACCCTGCTGGGATTATTTGTGGGTTTGGGATTGATTCAATACTTTTGCATCGTAGAATTGTAGGATCAGAATCTGGTCAGGAGTTTATTAACTATGACATACACACCCACACAAATTTTGCAGCAAATATCAAAACCAGACCAAAGAGGCATCTTAGAACCATTTAGCACATAAGAAATGATCACTCCACAAAAGGAGTGAGGTCTATGACAAAGCTTATTGGCAACCTATATTCCAGGGACACTTAAAAAATGAGGGAAGTATTCGTATTAGACACTCAACAGTCGAACATGAGTCTAGGATGTATGTCTGACACTTACAACTATCACAATGTATTAAGTTTAGTAAGGTAGTAGAAGATGAAAATATAACTATGGCAAATCAAGACCAAAGGGTCGCTAAAAATAACCATTTTTGATATTTAGGGTCCACAATACAAGGAACAATAGGTGGTGATGTAGTAAATAGGGTTGGAGCAGGGTGGATAAGATGGAGACAAGCTAGTGGCGGTCTATGTGATAGACAAATACCAAATAAGTTCAAAGAATAAGTTATAGGACTGTTATTGGGCCAACTATGTTATATGGAATGGAATGTCGGACGTTAAAAAAGAAACAAGAATGACGGATTCATGTGGCTGAAATGAGAATGTTAGGATGGATGCTAAGAGTAATTAGGAATGATATGATTAATAATCAACATATGAGGGAAAAAGTGACGCCTATTAGTGATAAAATAACAAGAAGTAAGGTAGACCCATCATAAACAACAGAGACCCATGGATAAGAAAAGGTGGATTTATTTACGTAGAAGGTAAGAGACAAAGAGGCTGACCAAAACTCATTTGGGATGAAGTAATATAAAATGATTTTAGAAAAATAAATATAATAGGAAACATGGTTTGTAACAGAAAAGAATGGAAAAAGGGAATTCATACGGCTGACCTCATTCATATGGGATAATGGCAAAAATGATGACAACTTATGGTTGGACATGGACTTAGTAAGCATGTACAATAATTCATATTTATTATATAATTATAAGTAAAACTCTCTTATTAAGTTTCTTTTGCTTCTAAACAAGTAATGCTAGGAACACAAACAGAATATCAGGAGAGTAAGAACAACAACCTCTAGGGTTTAACGAAGGGTGTAGCACAAGTGTCATTTCCTCCTCAGTGGAACAAATGGGTATATGTGTTCAACCAAAAAATAATTTAAAAATAAATAAATAAATAAATAAAAATCTCTATAGTTTAGGCATTCATTGTTTCCCGTTAGCCTCCAATTGTTTTATCACTCCGTGTTTGGTTACTAAAATAATATATATATATATATATATATATATATATATATATATAAACTAAGCCATGTAATCATGGTAAGAGAAATTAGATATTCAAATGATAAATTTAACAATAAAAATGTTGAGAACTGAGATTACAAGCCTAATAAAGAAAAGTTAAATGGGTAACGAACAACGAAATGTAACAAGTAAAACTTGCTTAGACCCTAAAGCAAATATTCAGTTCCGCAAGAGAATTAAGTTGTTCTTAGATGAATTTGGTCTGCAGTTCTTCACTGATAATAATTGAGAAGAGAACTTACTAGACTTGAGACTAGGGTTCTCTCTGAAGAAGAATGCGCCGAGGAGAAGAACCACTGAGGAGCTATTTACATTGAGAGAGAGAGGGGAAGAGGGGGGGGGGGGGGGGGGGGGTGGCGTGGGGGAAGACTTGAGGGTGCATATGTTCCGACTAGGTAATGATAGGGTTGGATCTTAGTCGCACTCTCTGTTTGTGTTCCTAACAGAATGTTTAATTATTATGCAGATTTTGTTGTAGATATTTGATCACTTGGAGATATTCATGTCCATTTGGGTTATTTAAAAAATATACGAGAAAGGGAAAGGAATTAAATTTTTATAAATTTCAAATTTTCATTATCTGGGACTAAATAGAACAAAATTATCTACTCAATGGAGCCTAATTTGGCCTAGAGAGATTACCTTCTTCTTTATTTATTTATTATTATTATTGTTATTAATTTTTGGTTTGGGGTGGGGGGGGGGTAAAATATTTCAAATAATTTATTGTGTATAGTTTCCTTAGCAACCAAATGGAAGGTAATGGAAATGATAAGTGCTTAAGGCCTCATAGATTGATGCTCTTAATATTCTATTGTTCTTGCTGTTTTTCTGATTGCCAAATTTATGTTACATATTTTTCATCCAGATAAATATACGTGTGTTGGAGGTAGTCAATGGGGCGTAATTTATCAAATGACTCAGAATCTCCGGTTAAAGGACGTAGATCTCCGAGTAGAAGAAGCCCATCTCGAAGAGAAAGATCTCCTGTTCGGCATAGGAGTTCACACGCAACAAGCTCACCACCAAGAGAGAAACCTTCTAGTCGCACCAAGTCTACCAAACACTCAAAGTCAAACTCTCCAGTTTCTCGTTCCCCTTCACCGCGGACAAAACGATTAAGAAGAACTCAAGTTGAAAAAGAGTTTGAGAAAGGGAGTGATAGGGAACGTGAGAGGAATCATGTTAGAGGAGGCAACAAGGCTACACACAGGGAAAGGGTTTCAGATAGGGAAGCTCCAAGTGAGAGAAGGGATAGAAGTTCAGGAAGGGATGCTGTTGATAGAGGTTCTTCTCGATCAAGACATGGGCGATCAGCTTCTCCTTCAGATCATCATCACAGGAGTAGACACAAATCTCACTCCCCTCCTTCGGCTGCCAATGACAAAGCACGTCACAAGGTTTCTGGTGATAGCCACTCCTTTTACTCCTTTTACAGACATATTATATATAGTGTTTATGTTCTTGCATTTGAAAAAGCATAACTCACAATATCTCACTGATGCTTGCATACACTGCCTTTCAATTATTTTTAGTTTGAAAAAGTGCATTTGTAAACCATAAGATCCCCTAGCTTGTTTTTTAATCCCCAATTTGGTTATTGCCCATAGGTTATTGATTTATAGTAAATAAATTATAAAGGGGCCTAAAAAGGGGCCTGCAGTAATTTAAGTTGTACTTTTCTGGTTTACTACATTTACATATGCATTGTTTGTGGTGGTTCATTTCCCCCTTGCTTCTAGCTTGTACCATTTGAGTGATCTTAAAGAGGCTTTCTCCTCACAGAGTCAATTCTTTAGTTAGAAGTTCAATTGCTTCATCTATCTTGGGTTTGCCTCGTCTTTGCTTAGATCAAAACAGGAATCATTTTAATATTTGAATGAAAGAATGGCAAATTGTGAATTTAATTTAGTTGTCTTATGTTTAATCTATAATAGCCTTATAAGTTTTTTATTTCAATTTTTTTTTTTTCAAATTTCCTTTATAATGATTTGTTAAGCCTCTTACTGATTGATATGATATTATTTTGTCTGTGTTCATAATTCAAACATAAATTTATGTTCTTTTACTCTATCTCTATGTTGTTGAGATAAACCAATTTTATTTTTTCTATTTGATTTTTTCTTAAAAACACTTGACATAGAAAGTGCTTTTTTTAGTTAATGTATATATGCTTGACATATAAATTAAATTGTTTTTCTTTTAAATGTATAATACGTAATGCATAAGATTCAGTGTTGTTTCTGCCTTCATTGATGTTCAAATAGAGTGATTGACCTTAATTCAATCCTTTCAGGGTACAAACTCAAGAGAAGATGAACAACGCCCAAGAGAAGATAAACAACGGTAAGCTCTTGATTGTACTTTAAACTTTTGTTGAAATTAATCAAAAACCCCTCAGATACAAAATGTCTGAAGTTAGCTTTGCACACACATATATTTCAGATTTTGCCATATAAAACAAATATTAACGTCACCAAATTGTTGAAGCAATATACGAAACCCTATTTTCTTACAAGTTACATGAATTTTCCCGTAAGTTCACAATCAGTACATTTAGGGAAAAAAAAAAAAAGGAGGTCACAAACAGTACGTGAATTATTTGCGTATGAACATCTTTTGTTTTACGGTAAAATAAGTTCAATCAATTGTGAATGTTTTTTTTTTTTTTTTTTTTTTTTTTTTTTTTTAAATGTACATTTAGGAGGATGATCCTCCTCCCTAATGGGCGGTTAATATGCATTACAATCAATAGTTAATATTTAGTTCAATAACTCTCCACATAAGTATCAATATATTTTCAAACTCTCTACTTTTCTAGAATCTTATCCAATCTATCAATTTTTCCGAGCGCTTCAAAGTTCTAGGGTCCTCCATCTCTCTACAACATTCCATACTTCCTTATTATTTCTTGTCGTTTATATATAAAAGAAAATATATGAGGCATAAGAAAAGAAAAATAGTATATGTGGTAAAAAATTTAATGGCGAACTTTGAAACAATAAAGCTATTATATCCAAACATATCCTTATTCGTGTTTTTTCATTTTTCGTTTTTGTATGCCGCTTTTTTTTAACGTTTTTTAAACAAGAAAAACAAATTATATTCGCACGTTTACAAACACACACATATATATATTTTGATAAGTACAAGCATGTATTTTTATTTATTTATTTATTTGATAAAAACAAACACGAATTTTTTCAATACCGTAATTTTAAGTACAAATACATATATATGTTGACTCCAAATTGAGTAGTGGGACTCCGGGGGTTTTGTGCAAGCTGGATATCGAGAAGGCATATGATCATGTGAGTTGGAGTTTCCTCCTCTACTTGATGGAGAGGATGGGATTTGGGGAGAGGTGGAGGAGATGGATTCTGTTTTGCATCTCTTGTGCTCGTTTTTCAGTTCTTATTACTGAACCTCCGATTGGTTTTTTCTCTAGTTCGAGGGGATTGAGACAAGGGGATCCTATTTCTCCGTTCTTGTTCCTTTTTTGTGATGGAGGCCCTTAGTAGATTGATTCAGAGGGCAGTGGAGTTGGGGTTCTTGAGAGGTTTTCGAGTGGGCAGGGATGTGGCTAGCCAGTTGGAAATTTCCCACTTGATGTTTGCTGATGATACTTTAGTGCTCTGTGATGTTGATGCTAATCAGTTGAGATATCTGAGATGTGTTTTGGTTTGGTTCCAAGTTGTTTCTGGGTTGAAGGTGAATGTTGGGAAGAGTGTTCTTATGCCGGTTGGGAAGGTCCCTGAGATTGAGTGGTTGGCACAGATTCTTGGTTGTCTGGCTTTTTTCCTATTTCCTATTTAGGGTTGCCCCTGGGCGCCCCTTCGAGATGTGTGGGGAGTTGGGATCTAGTTGTGGATAGATTTGAGAAAAGATTGGCAGGTTGGAAGAAGCAGTATCTCTCTAAGGGGGGACGGGTCACTCTGATTAAGAGTATCCTTTCTTGTCTCCCCACTTATTTCATCTCTCTCTTTCAGATTCCTTCCTCCGTGGCGGAGAGGATTGAAAGATTGCAGCACAATTTTCTTTGGGGGGAAAGAGGAGAGGAGTTCAAGTTTCACTTGGTTCGTTGGGAGCAAGTTTGTTGTCCTATTCGGAGGGGTGGCTTAGGGATTAGGAGGTTGTTGCCTTTCAACAAGGCTCTCCTTGGGAAATGGCTTTGGAGGTTTGGGGTGGAGAGGCGTTGGCTCTGGAGGAGGGTTATTGCGCTCAAATTTGGGTAGAGCAGTGGTGGGTGGTGTTCTCTCGTGGGACGTGGTCCTAAGGGAGTGGGGGTTTGGACTGGCATTCAAAAAGGGTGGGATAATTTGTGCAAGCATGTTCGTTTTCGAATCAGGGATGGTAGGAGGATCAGATTTTGGGAGGACCTTTGGTGTGGGGATTTTCCTCTTGCGCTCGCTTTTCCACGACTTTACAAGATTGCTTCTAATAAGCAAGCCTTGGTGATTGATTGTTATCATCTTGATAACGGGAGACTGACTTGGGATGTTCTGTTTAGGAGGCACTTCCAGGATTGGGAGATTGAGGACGTCACCCGGTTTTTGGACCTTCTGTACCGTCAGACGATCATAGTTGGGGATTCTGATTGTTGGCTTTGGATTCCCAACCCTCAGGGTCGCTTCGAGGTGAGGTCCTTTTTCAAGTGTCTTACGGTAGGCGCTGGAGGCTTTTTTCCTTGGAAGTCTATTTGGCGATCTAAGGTCCCCTCAAAGTGGCCTTCTTTACCTGGACTTCTGTCTTGGGTAGGATTTTGACCCAGGATAATTTGAGGAGGAGGAACCAAGTGGTGATTAATAGATGCTATTTGTGTTTGCGTGATGAGGAGACTGTTGATCACCTTCTGATTCATTGTTGCATGGCTAGGGGATGTTGGGATTTGATGATTGGGTTATTTGGGATCCCGTGGGTGATGCCTTGCTCCACTAGAGGGTTGATTGAGGCTTGGAGAGGGTGTTCAGTGGGGACTCTCATCCGGGATGCTTGGAGGGTTACACCTCTTTGTGTTTGGTGGTGTATTTGGCTTGAGAGAAATCGGAGATACTTCGATGGAAAGGAAACGCCCATCTCTATGATTAAGTTCTCTATTCTTTCCACTCTTTTTTGTTGGATTTTAGGGAGGGATTATCGATCTGTTGAGGAGTTGGTTGTTTTTTTGGCCTCTTTGAAGGCTTGAGGCGTTTTGGCGTTGTTATTTTGTACTTGGGTCTCGCTCCCCTTTTGAGCGGTTTTTCAATCAAATTTATTGACAGGTGAACTCGAATTGAATCTGTTGTTCCTCTACATGTAATGATAGAAGAAACTATTTTTGTTCAGTTTGATGGTGGAGAAGTTTTCTTACTAATAAACGGAGAAATTGTTGGAAATTGGGTTCCCCTATTTTTTCCACTACATTCAATTTGGTTTAAATTTTGGTCAAGTATACCTTAAAGTACCAATGACATTATACATTACCAGGGGCGGAAAGAGGAGGAGGGGTGCATTTTTTTTTCTCAAACTCTATTAATAGTAAGTACTAATAGTATTAATGTAATTTTGTATAGGAAAATTAAAGTTGGCCCCTCAAATTTTTATCAAAACTCTGTTAATGGTAATTATTTATAGTTATTAATAGTGATTTTGTATAGAAAATTAAAGTTGGCTTCCCCTTTTTTTTTTTTTTTTTTTTTTTTAAATTCCGATTTATAATTACCTATCTATGGTAATTAAAGGTGGTTTGCGAAATAAATTACTTGTGAGCCCTTCAAAGTCTTTAGTCCTGCTTTTAACAAATTCAAATCTAATAAGAAAGTGTTGTAATCCTTGCTACAACATATCATTACTCTATTTATATACACACAGACACATGTATATAAATTATTTGTTATGATTTAAACAGAGAAGAAAAAATATCTCCACAATTGACAACCTCATTTATCGACTGTTAACTAAACTTATCTCCATTTATTTTTCTCATATCATGTAGATATGCTCTTAAAACTGTACATTACAAATGCATTGTAACAAAAATTGTTACAATTAAATTTTATATTACTCCTTCCCCCCCCCCCCCCACCCAAAAAAAAAAAGAAAAGAAAAAAAAGCTAATATTTCTGGCTCCGCCCCTATACATTACAATATTTGTATCATTATTTTCATAACACGTATTTGGAATGTGCATAAAATGTCGAAAAGAATCATGCACTACATCTTGTTGCTTATTAGACTAATTCCTTTTATAATTTGTTTTATTTTTATGTTGCAAAGCTGTTCAGAAATTCAAATACACTTAAATATATTAAAGTTGATGGAAAGTATTACTAGGCTTTCCAAAAGTGATATGATCATTATCTTTACCATAGTTGTTAAAGGATGAAAGCGCACTAAGGCACCAAAGGTCTTTTGGAGCGTAAGCGCTAGGCGTATTATAAGGCATGAGGCTGATCAAAGTACGGCATGTGTGTGATCTTAATGCATATTAATTATAAAAATATAAACTAATTATAAATATGTAAATTAGTTATGCAACACAAACTTGTCATTATCAAAATAAGAAACCTAACACCCTAAATTGAGGTTGGATTCAAAATTGTCAACACAAGCCCAATCCGAGCAACAGAAAGAGCTTGCCAAGCTTGTCTAAAAAACCTGTTGGGGGTCGGGTTAGCTTGCCTAAGTTGTACTCCAACCTTATGTGTATTTACTACAGCAGTCAGGTAACTTGTTGTAAAATTTGTAAATATTTGGCATATATAAGTACAAAGATGAATTAAGGGGTGCAGATGAGAGTTTCTTTGTGCAAGCATACAATATGAAGCACATGATAAAGTTTAGGCATGAGATTGCCCAGATGAGTTACAAATGTCATTGCTCCCCTCATAGCTTAAACTTATTTGTTCAAGTTTGACAGTCTAGGCATTCACTTGAAATTGCATACCAGATTCTTGACATATCATTAGCTTCCCCAATGGAACTTGTTAGTCTTTAAGAACCATCAACACCTTAATTATGCCATTTGGTAATTCTTGTTAAGAGAGAGCATAACAATTCTGATTTTGTTTGAAGGTGGCAACTATCATGTTCCCTTTTTGATTTCTTACTGTTCCTTCAATACCCACCTGGCACATTTTCCCAATGAATAACCATCAAATTTTAGTATAATCTTGTCCAAACGCACACCATCAAAGGGTCGTGTATGTTTGCTTTGCCATTCAAATAATAATATATATATTGCTGCTTTTATTTTTGATACACCTTCATATAGTTCCTAATTAGAGATCGATTACTTGGTTGGGCAGCAATGGTGATGATGATTCAGTAGCTAAAATGAAGGCTGCTGAAGAGGCCCTAGAAGTAAAGGAAAAGGTAAAAGTCTGCTTGGTCTGCTGAGTGCTCTTATTCATCGCATAGTCACGAAGTATCATTATTAATAAATTTTTGTTCCTTACACAATTTTTATATGTTCTGGAAATTATAGAGAAGGATAACCATTGTTTCTTGCCACGGCTCTGAGTTCTGAGCATTAACATAGTGCACGTGTTATGCTTGATTACCTATGCTGCTTTGTGTCTACATTCTGTTGTCTTATAAGTTCACTATAACTCGCAGCAAAAACCTTCATTTGAGCTCTCTGGAAAACTTGCTGCGGAAACGAATCGAGTCAGAGGTAATATTTTCATTGCCTTCAACTTAAGAATAATGAATTGTTGTGTTCTCTTTTAGCTTGGCTGGAGAGGAACTCTCTAATAGAACTCTTTACATCCTTGTTGAGTTTTGGGCATCTAAATTTATTGAAATAGTTTGATGGATATAGATGATAGTCTCCTCCTTTCATCTCCTTTATGTATTCTTCGACTTTGCTCATCTTACTATATTCATGCAATTTTGCTTGTTGATTCTTGGGTGATTGAATTATTGCACGGGAAAAAGCCCCTTGCTCTTATAGAGTATAAATAAATTACTATATTTCCCTGCAGATAATTTATGTGCTGCATTAGCATAGCTGCAACATCGGACACGGTATACCTGACCTGCTAGAGAAATCTATAAACATCGTTTCTGTTAGTTAATTTACGGACCAAAGTCAGTCTCAATTCTCAAAGAAGCACAGTGGCTCCCAATGTATATTTTGACGATGTATTGCTCTCTAATGAACATGTTACAACAATTTGAAAGTCACTGGCAGAACCCTTGGGCCTTTGTATTCCTGACGGACAGTAAACTGATAAGGATAACACAGCTGCTTAAATTCTAGCAAAAATTGACCAATTTAAAAGTTTCTCTCAAATTTTGAAAGCTTTACATGCTGTCTTAAGCTCAACTCTATGCTTTCTATTCCTTCACACCATGCAAAGCTGCTCTCCCACTTGCAACTTCTCACGCATATCTTACCTATAAAACAATCCAACCTGGGGCTGCTCAATATAAGATGAGGCCTTAGGTGAAAAGTATAAAAGTGGCGTTAAATAATAATTAATAAAAAATGGTCACAAACAAAATATACAATTTTATTGTAACAAAAAATAATAAGACTACAAAATAATTTAAGTTAAAGAAGAATAGAACTTGAGGCTAAAAAAATCCGGTTCAATGCTCCGGCAAATTCAATGGAGAGTATGTAATGAGTGGAGGATAGAAAAAAATTGTTAACCCGAGGAAGAAAAAATGTGGGGAATAAGGGGAAAAAAGGAGATAAAAGTTAATAGGTGAAGATGGAAAGTTTTACCAGTATTAAATCGCTCCTATTGGTTGGGGTCTAATAATATGAGGAAATAATTTTTTTTGGGGCCTTCTATTGGGAGTTATAGGCCATTTTCATTCCATTTTTATATGCTTCAAATGGGTGGTTTTCTTATTGTTGTTCTCATTATGCATTACTTATCTTTTAACTGTCGTCTTTCCCTTTAATTTCACACTGTCATATTACTTTGTGGATGGATTTTGTTAGTTTGCATTTTTTATAATTTTATATTTGGTCAGACTCTATTTGTCTGTAGTTTTTTAATTTCTAACATTCATACATTTAATGATGTTACTTTATTTTGAAAGATTGAAATACACATTTGAAATGAGATCATCAAGGTTGAAAGGCTGACCAATGAAATACTCAGCCTAAAAGAATTTTTTTATTATGGCTCTACGGCTGTGGTTGTGATAAGTCTTCGCTGTACCCTTTAATGTAGAATTGATGATAATTTCTAAGTAAAACTGTATAGATATTTATTACCTTGTGTTACTAGCTGATGCAAGACTTACTGGTTGTCGTCATACTAAATGTGCTGGTAGAAGACTTATAGGCCATTATCATTCTAAATGCGTGCACGCGTGTGTAAAGGAGGGAGGCTGTTTTACATTGACTAGGTACCCTATTCACTTGTCCTGTAGAAGCTCTTTGAGTTTTCATTGGTATGAGGTTTCCATGCAAGGATATGTGCAAGCAAGATGCTTTCTGAGACGAATCGCATACTTTGTTATTTTATGCTACTAGCAGATGCAAGACTTCTAGGTTATTGTAAGACTGAACGTGATAACTAGTACAAGCTCTTGGGCTTAAAAGCTCCTGTATGGTTCCTACTTCAACCATTAAAATCTTCCTGTGGGGTCCTGGCGCATCACCTGTGTTGCATGATTGCATGATCCTGGCAGATTCAGAATAGTGCAAAAAAGAAATGAAAATTGATAGGGAATAGATAAAAAGAGTCCGTTCTGTTCTCACTTTTACCACTCAATAACCTCATTCAATGCACCCAAACATGAGTGAATAGAAGGAAAGAAGAAAATGCTTTACTTTGTCCAACCATATGGAGTAGTGCCACTGATGATCTCTGATTGGGCAGATTTTTTCCCTACTCTTCTGGTACATTCATATTATACGTGTGATCATAACTGGAACAATTTAAATAATAATCCTGAGCATTTGTTGGTTGAAACGACAGTCATGCGAGCTTCTTTATCTATGGTTTGATTTTTCTGTTCATATACTAATTAGATATCATGCATGTCAGGTGTGACACTGCTGTTCACTGAACCCCCAGATGCCCGAAAACCAGATATAAGATGGCGACTGTATGTTTTCAAGGGTGGTGAAGTGCTTAATGGTAAGTTTTCTAGGAGCCATATTCGTGTATTATATTGTATCATGAATGCAACCTTGTGTTTCCTTTTTTGGTTACATGTATTTTTCCTTGCTTGGCTCAAGATAAACATTCCCCCCCACCCCCCCTCTCCCTCCCTCTGTTGACACAATTTTCATTGAAGTTTGAGGTCGTACTTTAGTTTTTGACTTTATGATTTGAAATTGGTTGACATGCCAAGTGGTAAATTCCTTTGTTGAAGTTGAAGTTCTTTAATATTGTAAAAGAGGCAGGATCAGATTAAGCATGGTTCTGGAACTAATATCTAAGTAATATGACATAATCAACTTTTATTTGATTCGTCTTTTGACAAGCTCAGCTGTTAGATTAAATGTCCATCATATTTCTCATGTGTGCCAAATATGAATTTGATTAGAGAGATGAGTGCTTCTCTTCCACATCATAATTCATATTAGAGTTTCATTTTAGTATTCATTAGAATAACTGTGAGTTTAGTGGATTGCATAGCATGTTAGTGCATAGGGTATCTAACCCATTGGTGGGCTTAGAAATTTATGAGTTCCACAAGAAGTTATTTGAAGGTGCCTAAATAGAATTTCATATTTCATCTGCAAGGCGATCCTTATTCTCTGTATATACAATTATTAAAAAAAAAAAAATCATGAAGTATTTTGGAATTAATCTTGATAGTTCACATTTTGAATTCAGTTTATCAGAAACATGGATGTGAAATGGCTGAAGCCTAATGTTAATTGTTTAAGCTTCATTTGATTTAACTTTGAGTTTCCTACTACTCATTGAGCTTGAAGTTTGGCTTTTGTTGCTGGACAGTTAGGAGTATATGTAATTGTTTACACCTTGATGAGCCTTTGTGATTCCCTGATATCGGACGGTTAAGAGTATAAAAAAATTGTTTTAACCAATGAAACATTATGATTTCATTAATAATTGTGTGAATTAATGTGACATCTCCTTTTTTCGGTTTATAAAGGTTTAAATTCAAGTGCCCAATTCTGACTGTCTGACTGAGGTTTACAACTCTGAAGCCTAGGTAGTATATTCGCGTACGTACGAATTTTTGGATAATACTTCCATTCAGTGTTGTTAAAGGTGTGCCTAGGCTCGAGGCTCAGGTTTAACGCATGTTGTCATCCCAGGCTTATTGATGTTTACTAGGCGTGCGCCTCGGTTGCGCCACACTGATATTTGTTTAAAAAAATACGATTGTTCTATTTCTTAAGCCAAAAAGGGTACTTTTGGAACTTAATAAACAAAAAAGAAAGCCCAAGCATACGATAGAAGGAACTTTTGTTCAAAAGAATAAACAAATAAGAAAGCCCAAGAGTTAAAAGTGTTAACCGAACAACGATAGAATGAGATTGTGAGACGAAAATGAAGCCCTGGTCGAAGAGATGAACGACGAAGCCACGTCAGTTCTTTCTTCTTTTTTTCTTTTTTCTCTCGTCCTCTACTTCTCTCTCCTCTCTTCTTATCTTTGTTTACGTCTCTCTCTTCGTCTAGTTCTCTTCTCTCTCTCTTTCTTTTTTTTTTTTTTTTGGCTCTGTTTTTCCTTCTTCTTTTTTTTCTTTTTTTTTTTTTTTTCTCTTTCTCTTATCAACAATTTTATTATTATTATTTTTTTAACAGATTTTTTTTTTTTTTTTTTTTTTTTTTTTTTTTTGTGCTTTGTTTTGCCATTCAAAAAACACATTTTGCATTGCCTTTCAAGAAAACAAATTTTTGCTTTGTTTTATGTTTGTATGCTTGTATAGTTGATGGATTTACTTTTTTATATTTGATATTAATTTTTAGAATATTGATATGACTTATGAGATATGAATGTTATTATGGTAATTTAAATTTTCAATTGTACACCACACTTCACTCAAGCGCGCACCTCATGCCTAGGCTCCAAATGACCTCTAGCGCCTTGGGCCTTTAATAACACTGCTTCCATTTGCCATTTAGGTTTGAAAGATATGGTAAAATACGCGTTTTTTTTACGCGTTTATTCGTTTAATACTTTTGGGTCACCGTTTAATTCGTCTTTTATATTTTCTTATAACCTAATTGTTTTTTTATTTTTCTTCACGTTTCTGATGGTGTATTTTTTTCAAACACACCTTTAATCCATAAACTATCTTCTTTTGTTTGGCCATTCTCTCACACTTTTATAGAAAAAAACAGGTTATCTTTTTTCTTTCTTATTTATTTATTTATTATTATTATTATTATTATTTTAAATCCCTTATCTTTGTCACTAATCAAAGTAATGAAGCATATATATATACACACACACACACACTTGATGGAACATTGAAACTTTAGAGAATCATGATTTTTGTAGATGTTAATTTGTAGATATTTATATATTTTTATTTTTTTTTTGAGATATTTTAAATTTTGTTGATATCTTCTTTTTTTTCAAATTTGTAGACCACCTACACTCACTAGATGGTTATAATTATATATAGACAGTTTATTTCTTCTATGATTATTGTGACATAGTCAATTGTAATACATTTATTTTATTATATGATATATAGGAAAATAATAAGATGTGAATAGCCGAATTTTTTGTTCATACAACGTATTATATACGTACGTATCTGTATTTGTATTTTTACGTTTCTGTTTTTTTAGCTGAATTTTTCTAACGTATTTTTTTTAAGAAAATCAAATTATACTCGTACTTTTCCGTATCCGTATATTTCCCGTACCGTATTTTACTAACTATGCTATGAAGAAAGAACAGGAAAAGTTTGAGATCAAAGGCCAAGGTCCCTGGTCTCCAAAATCCTACACCCATGGGCATACTACTTGGTAGGCCTTGATTACTACTTTCGCAAATGCCCACTTTTGAACCTGTACCTGTTTGAATGAATTTTTGTTGATGTGTGAATATAAAGATGATTTTATTATTTGTTCCTTTTTTTACCAGATATTTAGTTATTTGTTCTATTTACTTGGTTATTAGTGTGATATCTGATATGCTTGAGATTGATAGATATTTGTGTATCGTGGTGTTAATCCCATTTCCATTTCTCACACTTAAATTATTAGTTAGGGAAAAGTGCAAAAAACCCCCCTGAACTATTGGATAATCAGCAATTAACCCCTGAACTATCAAAGTTACAACTAACCCCCTGAACTATGCATTTTTGTTGCAGATAGCACCATCCGAGTCATCCGACACTGTTCTGGTCGGATCCATCACTGTTCCGGTCGGATCTTACCATTAAATTGACCACATGTCATATACTATAATTTTAATGACCATAATACCCTCGTGAGCATAAAAAGACACCAATGCCCCTTATTGTAACTATTAAACCCAAACACCTTTTAAACCCCCCAAACACACCCTTATGTCTCTCTCTCTATATATATAGTTATAATTTATAAACTACTGTTGAACTTCTTCCCAACGCGCATGATTGGGAAAAAATAAAAAATTTCGTGTTCACATGTGGAACTAAAAAAATTCGAAATTAGGACTGGAATTTGAAGAATTGATAGACGCACACAATCGTTATTGTGCAAAGATTTTAACGATGGTTTATATGCTTTAACATGTCCACAAACCCTAACCCTTATATATATAGCTCCCTCTTTCTGTGTGTGTGTATATATATATATAGCTTGTATGGTTATGTAAATTGCAAAACAATGGAAGGTTTTTTAGAGGAAGCTTGCAAGCACAGGATGGAGAGATATAGTCAAAGTGGGTCTCTCAAAAAAAAAAAAAAAAAAAAAAAGAAAAACCAAATGTTTCAGTCTTGATTCTTGAAGTGTTTCTTATCCAGCAAACGCTTCTATTGTCCCAACAATCTATAATTTATAGAGCAATATATATACACACAGAGGGGGAGAGGAGAGGAGAGACGTCCCAGAACACAATATTTTTTATATAAAAAATAAAATAAAAAATAAAAAATAAAAAAACCACCACCAGGACGCACATGTGTTTGTGAAGAAAATGTACAGTACTTATGGGATTGAAGAGTGTATCCGCAATCGACTGCTCTCCATCTCCTTTCGGGATTGCAAGGCCTCCCTTTATGTCGCATCCGCTTGGCACCTCCCTAACGCTGTGTTCAGAGAGGTCCATCCTTTCAACGATCTCTAGCTTCCGTACACCAGCATCGTGGCTCCATCTTCCTCTGTTACGGCAGTCGGATTCACAATCGCTCGTCCCTTTGGTTTGTAGGGATTTCATTGATTTTAGGGATTTCGTTTTTGTTTGACATTTTGATTGTGGTTGTTAGCCTTAGAGCTATTTTGGGGGTTTTGGACCTTCTGTTTTATAATCTTTTTTCTTAAAAAAAAAAAAAAAAAAAGGAAAAGAAAAAAAAGAAAAAAGAAAAAAAGAAGAATTATAGTACATATAACTGTGTGTATGTGTATATATATATAAAAAAAAAAAAAAAAGAAAAAAGAAAAAAAGAAGAAGTATAGTACATATAACTGTGTGTATGTGTGTGTGTGTATATATATATATATATGAATTTTTTTTTTGATAAATAAAAGAATATTATTAAAAGACGCTCAAGAGGGGAGCGAAACCCAAGGAAAAACAAAATAGCACAAAGGACTCAAGCCTTCGTAGAGGCCAAAAAATCAACAATTTCCCCCAACGATCTATGATCTCTCCTGAAACCCAACAAAAAAGAGTTGAAATAATCGAGAACTTAAGCACCGAAATCGACATCGCCTTTCCTTCAAAGTATCTCCTATTCCTTTCAAGCCAAATACACCACCACACACAAAGTGGCGTAGCTCTCCACGCATCCTGCCTGAGAGCCCCCACATGGCAACCTCTCCACATCTCAATCAACTCTCTAGTAGATCCTGGCATAACCCAATAAAACCCAAATAAGCTAAGCATCAAATCCCAACACTCTCTAGCCAAAGAGCAATGAATAAGAAGGTGATCCACAGATTACTCATCACGAAGACACATATAACAACGATTGACCACCACCTGGCTTCTCCTTCTCAAA